TACTTGCAAACTTGCTCATAGATTGATTCACACTATCTTTTACTAGTTTCAGGATATCATCAATCTTTGGCTCGATACCTTCATCCTCCATACGGGAGCTTATCTTCACCCACTTCCTTTGCAGTCGAGTAGGTAGGCGCCTTGCTATTACTTCTAGGAAAAAACTCGAGTTGAGGTCACTCATGCAATTCATCGAAATCAATGCATCCTTGTCAGTCAGCAGATTATCCAAAAACTCAGTAAGTGCCTTTGAGTTATCTTGAAGTTGACTGCCGTTACCTTTGACAGCTTCGTATACGTTCTTTACAATCATTGAATGTCTTCCAAACCTTTGACGTAATATGCTCATAGCCTCATCGTAGCCCTCTTTTGGCTTCATAAACTTACAGCACTGTATCGCTCTTGCAGCAATTCCAGTGCAATACCTCATCAAATACATTAACTTCATTTCATCGTTTAATAAAAAACCACTCAGCATGATCTCAAACTCGTTAACAAATTGTAAATAATCAGCCGGGTTTCCATCAAAACACTGTGGTTCAAATTTAGTGAGTTTGATGTTCCTATTATCCCTGAACGGCGAAACAGTAACATCAACCATGTCATGCTTAACATCAGACACATCGTTACAAGTAACAGACAAGTCACCATGGCTTACTTTCCTGTTTGCATCCAAGACGCTCTGTCCCTTCTTTGACCCAGGCATTGTTGAACTTGACCCAATTCCAGAAACGTTCCAGATATTGCTTGTTCAAAGAGGACTTGACCGGCACCAGGAAAGATGAACGGTGACTATCCAAACTGTCACCAGCGGTCCAAAACCGTCGAAAACTGACTTCACCATCAGAAACTGTCAATCACGTCTCATAAACCGTTAATGCCCAGCTCTTGCTACGATCGGGCCCACGCTGTTCTTTGAAGTTTCTCAGAAACGCTTAGTTATAACGGACGAGAAAACGGTAACACCGATTGGCCGCTTGAGAATTCTTTATTGTTACACCAACATATAAAAATAATAATTGAACTAAGGTCTGTGAACAAATATTACAATAATAAATCATAAGATTACTTCTGATGGTTTACTGCTGACTTCTTTCTGAACACCGACCGATGAGACGATGACTGTCGTATTGATGCCTCCGCGAAAATTGGGGAAGTTGATTTTGAGCAAACAACCAAGAATTGATCGTTCAATCTTCAACTCCATTGACATTATACCTTCTCCAAATTTATTACGGAATGCCCATATATCTGTTTGTTATTAGTGATGGATTTCGAAGTGGAAGGACTATTTTAATTGCTCTTGCTAGGGAGGAGAGGTTTGCAGATATCAAGGAGATCTAACGAACTTTTAAGGGATTTATGAGTGATGCATCCAAAACAGTAGCATTCACTTTCGAGTGTGCAACTTCACAGATGAATGCTCTAAAGGTGGAATTCCCCAGACAGAACATTGTTTTACGTCTTTTTCATATATGCCAGGGGTTCAAAAGGAAGTTAATTTTCCCTCTCATTAATGAACGTAACCAAATCATTTCGCAAATCAAAGTGAGGAATGAGGCCAATTGCTCATGTTGGACGTAGTGCGCTCACAATTTGTCACGTGTGCATGGCGTTATGGCTTTTCGGGTTCTTCGATTCATATCTAAACTGTGGTATGTTCCATTTCCCTAAATGCTGTTACCCTCTGATATTCTGAGAACTAGGCAGAGGTGGACACGTCAAGATAAATTACGCCACGGACAACATTACGCGTGCCACCAACTTAACATCGCAACCAAGCAACATGTTTCGGAATGCTTACGAACAGTTACGAAGTCGCCTTGTTTGACAGCCTGAAACAAATACAGAAATATAGAAATCCAGTTCACCAAAAGGTCGGACAGTTTACCATTGAATGAACCGCTGGTAACATTCCGAATTCGGTGCCCCTTTTGAATTGGTTATTCTTGTTATTAGTATCTTACTGTTTCATCTGAATATACTCATCAGAATATAAACATACATGCATAAGTTGTTTCTAGACTTTATTTCCACTCGCATGCCTAAGAGTGAGTGGAAGCTTAAAACAGACTTCGGTTAGTTGTTTCATGATGAAATCAGCTTTGAAGGGAGCTAGAAATTAGAGCCATTTGCGTCTTATTTACCTACAACGTTTTGTCAGCCGAAGGGGATTGGTCTTTTCTAATTAACAGTGACGAATAAGATCCATCACTAATACTGCCCGCCGCAAGGTCTAAAGGGTTAACTAAAGTGTGATTAAATTTCCATTTGTGTGCCACACTTTTAAATATGCATAACGTTGAAAAAGTGGTAGTTAAACTTTAAGCACCAATAACTACCAACAAGAGAATGACTTCTAACGTACCAATCACATGAAGGCGGAGATTTTGTGTATGGAATAAATGTATTTGAGAAAAAAATGCATAGAAACTGTGTGAAAGTGTTATACAAGATACTTTCTTCTCACATATGATAAAAATAGTTATGTTTTAGGTTGCAGTATCAAAGGAGTCTACTTCCATTGTGGGTAAAAATTATTTTAGACAAAGTTTCATAGTGCTATACAGCGATATTTACTGAGCAATAAATTGTGCTCGAAACGCCATCAGTTAATATGACTGTATAAGACTGTGAGACAATCAAAATAAATGCTATCCACAATGGAATTACACTTCGTCACAGTACACAAGTTCTGTTCTTATATCAATACAGTAATTTAACCACATTATGGATGTAATTATTTGGGTATTCTTAACCTAACAGAAATCCAAATCTTTCCTCAACCTAACCCTAACGTGGAAATATCCGTAAACTAATTGTAATCTAACTCGAACTAACTATAATGTCGCCTTTGTTAGGTTAACCTAACCTTAGCTTGTCCTTGTCTTAAACCTAAACTTAATATTTCTTTAAACTAAGCTAAAACTTGCCAGAAATCCTATTTAATAATATTACGTTTCGATTAGCGTATATTATTGATGATAACAACATCGAATTTCACCGACTTGCTCTCTGACCATTTCAAGGTCATTGGTCCAGTCGAACTCCATTACTAGTTAGTGGTGCTTGAAGATGCTTTGAATTTCAATAGCAAATGAATTCACAAAAACATACAACCAGTAAACTCAGAAACCGAAGATAACCTGGAACCTAGACACACCGACTTTCGACTGTGTATTGGGTATTGTACCGAAGGCGCCAGTCTCAAAATGTTGCGTAACTAACAGGGTATGTATTGAGATAAAAACCAGCATAATACCAATAAGTAAGTTATATTGGCAAAGTTCAACAATAGAGTCCCAAGGGATGCTAACGCACGAGTGACCTTCAGGCAGCCGATCATAAAAATGAGGAATTTTTGCACGAAAAATGACGTATATTCACAAGAAAATGCATGAAAACACATTAAACGGATTATATTTCTCTGATATGACTTAAAAATACGTTCCAGTTGCGACGAAGAGTATCAGTTGCTAATTTGGACTAGTTTCTGTAGATGTATTCACCAAAGTGACTGAAGGTGTGCTGTTTTGGGAATGGTTCATCTCTCTTCTCTTGCTGTGTAGTCCTCTCCTAAGCCCTCGGTTTAGTTACTATGGTTCCAGTAAGAGCATTGGCGACTACATACAAGGGAAATAAGGATAATAAAAGAACTTGAAATAAACGAAAAATCTATTCCTAATCGCTACCCTAACCTTAACCCTCAAAAAGGAGGTACATATTCTGGAAAGAGTACAGAGAGTAGGAACAAAATTAGTTAGTGGTATCTCACACCTTCCTTATGATAAGAGGATGGAGCATTTAAATCTCTTCCCGTTATCATACCGAAGGAAGAGAGGCGACTTAATTTTAGCATACCGTATACTTAAGGGTGATTTAGGAACTGACCTTTCTAACCTTTTCTCCCCTTCTAGGATACATTTACGGGGTCACCGCAAAAAGGTGCTCAAACCAAGGACGATTAAAATACGTGCAGAATTTAGATTCTCTCACAGAGTGGTCAACGATTGGAACTCCTTACCTGATTCAGTAGTATCAGCTCCATCGGTGAACGCTTTCAAAGAGAAGTTAGATCTCTGCAGAGATATACTTTGCAAGGATTAACACAGGCCACAAGAGCCTTCTATCCTTATCATCTGAATCTGAAATATTCTTCTCGTATCATTGGCATTAAAAGCAGTGACTGGTGACATCTCCATTCGGGCTCCGTTGGGTTCTTAAACGGTCACGGAGAGCGGCGGTCAGGGCAGCTGAAGTGGACGCTGTAGGCACTGGACGTAGAGAGCTACTGGATGTGGACGCACAGTCGTTCTCAGCGTCCATGAAACAAAGGATAACCCTCTGTAACTCTGACGTGCTGGTTGGGAGATGACGTCGCAGATTTGTGAGAAGGTCTTCGGGCAGCATTCCTCTAACAAAATGTATGCATACTAGATGACTTTTGCTGGAGTCCCCATAATTCTCAAGTCCAGCTGCCAATAGCTGGAGGGCTTTAAGGTATCCCAGGAAAATTTCTCCTGGTAGTTGTCGGCGGAAGAGCAGTTTGAGCAGGGCACGTTGAGAGCCCTGCCTCAGGTCAAAGCACTGCTCTAGGATCTCCGAATTTGTGCTCTGAAACCAGCAGCTTCTGCACAGGCGAAGGTGTCCTCGGATAGGATGTTGAAAGCGTGGATGAAGTGGCGGGCCACTGGAGTGACGTCGAGGAACGGATGCGACGTCATCTCCCAACCAGCGCGTCAGAGTTACAGAGGGTTATTCTTTGTTTCATGGACGCTGAGAACGACTGTGCGTCCACATCGAGTAGCTTTCTATGTCCAGTGCCTAAAGCGTCCACTTCAGCCGCCCTGACCGCCGCTCTCCGTGACCATTTAAGAACCCAACGGAGCCCGAATGGAGATGTCACCAGTCCCTGATATTATTGCCGACGATACGGGAAGAATAAAACTTAATTATTGGTATTTTGCTGGTTTTTATCTTATTACAGGTATTCCAGTTCAATGCCGAAAGGGAATAAGTCCGAGAAACGGTTTCTTCGAGTGCGTGACGAAACAGTTGCACTTTCTGCACAGCTTATGTCATGTAATTACATTCGTTAATTATTTGTCAGTATGTCTAAGGTCGAAAATTACTTCGGGCAATGCATTGCATGTTTTAGAAGAGCTTCAATCCATCGCGTCTGAAATTATCACTCTTCAGAAAGGTGAGATAGTCATAAAAAAATATCCGTTTAGATTATTCATTTGTATCTAAACTGAGAAAATCTGTGGAAAGTAGGAAAATAAGTATAGAGCGTCTCACATCTTCACTCGAATGCTATGTGCCTGGTGAGTATGCAGTTCACTGGTTTGAAGAATATGGTTTTGGACTACGTGCTCTAGTTCAAATTGGGGTAATTCCAAGTTATTTTTATGATCTCAGTGTGGTGATGAACTTCTCAATATCCCTAGAAAAGATATATTCTGTGTAGATTGTTCAACTCAAGATCTAAGTATGTTTATTGCTTATACATCTAATTTTTCAGAGGATTTCATAAGAAATGACTCATTAACATCTAACATGGAGAATATCGCATTGTCCTTGTGTGTATTAGGCGAACTATATGAAGGAGAGAATTCAAAATGGTGGGACTACATAAGTAAGGAGTCTGACTATTTTTTTATTGCACAGACTCATTGCCATCTGATTACCCTACATTTTTGTACATGGATGCTGCTGATATTCGTCATTTAAAGGGCTCACCAGTTCTGGGTAGTTAAATTTAACCCTTTTATCATACTTTTGTCAGAGAAAGTTGCATCCAACTACCTGTTTATTTGCCGGCAGTATGCCTACTTCTGCTGTCAGTTCAGGGAGAACCAGAAGTTTTCCGGTATTCCGAATTTTGTATTCTGTTTTGACGACTATAGGTATGTGGTCAGTGCGATGTTTTGTAGTTTCGTTTAACATAGTGAGATATGGTTTGCCAGAATTTGTGCATGTAAGAATAATTTCATGTGTAACAAACGGTGTATCTAGAATTACTTTCTCGGTTGCTGTGACTGGATTGTTTTATATAGCCTCATGTGTTTTGTTCATGTGGCTAGTTTGCTTTTACTTCGAGTGGAAACACGTCATTTGTGTTACAGAAACTTCGTAAAATGAATCGGTATTTTCACCTGCAACAAATGTAATATTTGCAACTTGCAATCTGATATTCAAAGCTTCATTCTTTGGAACTGGTAAGCAGTGAAAGTCCAGGGTCTTCGAGAAGCCAACATTTTTATGGTGGGTGTCAGTGAGACCAGCATTCTATTCATATTCGCATAAGTGTTGACACTGACAGGCTTATAAAAATACTGAGAGGTAGAGCAACGTCGCTAAACAGAATACACTACTCTGTAACTATATAACTGCTCTCGATATCTACATACAACTTTTCAGAGATATTTTGTGTAATCGTTGTAAAAATGTACTAACCGTTTATATTTGTAAATTTTCTGAAATTACTGAAACCAATCTTGGTTTAATTTATTGGTGCTTCGTCACTTAGACATTACTGTGAAACAATATTTGTTTTGCGTCTGTGAAACATGGCCACTGGAAGTGGAAGACCTGAGAACACTAACATCTTCTATTACAGATATTTACCGTCTATCTCCCATGTTGTGTTATAATTAAATTAGGGCTAGGTGTAGCTTTAGCTAAAGAGAGCAAGTCAGTCAATGAGGTTATAAAGATGAATCTATCGAGATGGCCACAATATATGTTAAAGAGGCCAAGCCACCGTCCTTTTTGATGGGCAATGTTATCTGGCGGCGATTCGGTTGAAGAGTTAAGAGTGGTCAAACCAAAACCTAGCAACAGCCCACGAAGTCTTTGAATTTCGGTTTAAGGCACGTAGAGCTAGGGATGCAAAGAACTAATGATGGGAGACTTCTTGTGATCTGATTCAAGACTGTTGCTAGTGATGCAGAGGCGTTTACTCTTTTATCCTCCAGGATTTACCAAATCTATATGTTTCTGTTGTTACTGTCGTACATTTCTGCTCATAGTTTTTCTTTGAAATCTCTTTCCCCTATCTTTTTATGCTCTATGGGACTTTTCAAACCGAACTGCTGAACTTTGTGCAAAATTATATGTTATAACCCAGTCAGGTAGCCTTAATATTTGTTCATAGTGGTATGGTATGGTCACTACAAATGATGTTTGGCGTAGGGCATTAGGTAAGGGAAGGAAAATCAGTCGATTGAATAGGATATGTGTAACGCATGCCAACCCACTGCCTTCATTGACGATCCTTGTTAGGTGATTTAGGGTTGTATTGAGAGTCGTAAAAGCAGGACGTGGTACTGATCTGTGAAGTCTTTGAATGTTGGTCTGAGCTATATAAGGGGCAATAAACTTCTTGTTTGGGGTCCCCAACACTGAAAACCATTGTCCGGAGACTATTGGTGGCGTGCCTCAAAATATTTTTCACTGATGTGAATGCATTCACTTCTTATGATCGTCCACGTTCATTTTGTCCTCGTTATTCTTTGTGCAGTTATTGTTTCTTCAGCACATTCTCGTTTATTATATATTCTTTGAATTTCTCTTTTTACCTCTTTTATGAAGTGTAGCAACGTGAACAGTTGCACTTTTCCTTTTTACAAAGTTCTGTGTTGATAATTCAGGCGGTTAGTCATTTGGTAAATTTGCCTAAAGGTTATAGACTAAATTTCAGTTACGCCGTAAGTTTACTTGTTACAGTTAAGTAGTATTGTGAACTGACAAATGTCTCAATTTAACTATCGTTGCATTCTAGTAGTCCTTAAAAAATCGGTATTAGAATTGTCCCTTTGTAGTGTATGAATTCATTTGTACTAAATTGCAGAAAATTTCGTTTTACTGAAATGTTCCATTTCGTTAATCTTTTTGTAGTCCTCTCTTTTCAACTCTATGACACCTCTATGAAATCTCCGTCTAATTTTGTTATTTTTACTTGTTTAGGTGGGCAGTATCGACAGTAATGAGTCGAAGCAATTATATACCTCATCGTAACGGTATTGATAAAATTATGTGCCTGATACCAGTTTGGGATATGATGAATCATAAATCTGATTACGTAAGTTATGAATCGTTTTCATTATTGGTTTACGTAGTTTTAGTGAATTTTGGCAGTGAATATTATTTGAATTTAACTTCATTATTTGAGGATAAATCTGACTACATTTCTGCATTCTAGTTTATCTAGAATCAATATTTCATAGAACATTAGTTCACCGATTAATTGATCATTTTTATAGTCCCTTCTCAATATTTATTTGTCAATTTCTGCAAAATATTTTTCTGACACCGATGGTAATAAGCGTGTACGTTTAACAATTCATTTGCTGTTAAATTAGAATATTACGTATATATTAATGGTATGTGATAATTACACAAATATGTGGAAGCTTAAACCAATAAATAGTGATAGTAGGCCTTATTTATGTTACGTATACTTGCTCCAAGTAAACATACTGAGATTTTTGTATTAGTTAGTCATGGGGTTCCATATTGAGGAATCAGAGATTATAAATAACCCATTTACATCAACATAATCTAGGTAATATCTTTAACCTTCATGCAACAAGTATTCGAAGTGTATTTCATAAATTTTTGTTTAGTTATCGAATTGTGTTTATTTTGCTTACATTCTTCATAGTGAAATCTGGGTATTACATCTGCTGGCTTTCAGGTAGAGTACGATTTATAGCATGTATTTAAATAATAACCGGCAGTTTTGATTGGTGTAGATTTTGTCGGCAGGATTTTCGTTATGATAATCAACTAACGGAATATGGGCATCCACAGTATTTCTAATTTGTCATTTAGACACTGACCATCAATTTCGTTGCTGGTTAAACTTCTTATGTCACTATTCACTACCAAGTCCACATTATCTTTGAATTCGCAACCTGAGGTAGTAGTCGTAGATAGCTTACCTAATATCTTGGAGCTAAGCACTAAATTAAATGTTGCAGTATTCAATGTCTGTGTCCTATATCGAATCTATGAGTAAATTTCTCTTCTATCCTGAGCCGTGGATATACTTTTTGTGAGATATACATTAAGAATCCAAGTTTAGTCGTTCAGTTTATGTCAGTTGACATCACACTTGAAATGTCCTGGGATCCAAAATTCGAATTTCATAATCTTGTGGATATAAGGATAGTTTTGACTTCTTCGATCAAAAGCATTCAGCGTAATTGGATACCAGTTGCTAGTTGCATGTTTAGTATTCCTTTAAAACAATGCAACAATTAAATGGGAATCGTAAAACACTGATGATTTCTCGAAGTCAGTACCCTTACCCTCTATGTGTAACCCGGATGATGTAAGAATTAATTTCTACGACCGTCTGTCGAGATTTTTGCCGAAAACAAAACATCCAAATGTCTTTCGTTAAACACATAGGCTGAATTAGTGAGAAGGCCTATTGGATAACACTCATTCCGTTGGAAGACAGTCAATCAAAGCGCTTATAGGTAAACTGTGTCTGCATAGTTACCACACATTAGTACACAAATGCCTTTGTCTGTGTCTTCTTGAACATGGAAAGACAGAAAATTTAAAGATCCGTCCGAACTCGATTCAACAATAACAATATTGTAGCTGCATTCAAACAAAAAGTAGACAGTTGACAGATGATGATTTTATGCTGTCTAAATTGCATCACTATTTAGCGTTTATTATTATATAAGGGGCGACGCTGTTTCTGATACTCAGAATACGGTTGCAAAAAATGAATTCATTGTTTTGGATTTTCAAGATCTAATAAATGCACGATAAAGAATTCACTTGGAGTGGAGTCACACTTTCGGTTTAAGATATTTTAAGTATACACTGAGAATTTCGCTCTAGTAACATGAGTAGTTACAAGTAAGGAGATTGAAAAGCTAATGGAGGTAGTAGCAAGCTGGACGTATGTGAAATGTAGTAATTCATTTTCAACACTTAACGAAGGCTGCAATTAATCTCTGGGTATGACGAAATCGTCGCACGAGTAATGTAGTAGTTAAGGGTTTAATAATGTGTGCTTTTCGGTTATGGTATGTAATTCAAACTTCAATGCGCTTTCATATGATCTCAAACGTCGACTTGGTGAAAATTCTAAGCACTTTGTTGTTCTCACCACCTTTTCACGTTGGTAACATAATGTCTCATCATAATCTTGCATTTCTTGACAGAACAGAAACTTAGAATGTAGTCATATGCCCTTTGATAACATAAGATACTTTGCTTACCAATGAAATTATAAGTTTGATAAAATCTTTCCTTTTCAGTAATTGCTAGTGCAGACAACATTAAGTAAATTATACTGAATTCTATCGTCCCCTGATTTTCAAGGGTTTTCTAAATAATTTTGGTTCATGTCACACACACAACCTTCCTTGGGATAAATCATAATTCTGCAAATTCTAAATTTGAACATTATACAAGGTATTATTTAGTGATATCTTAGTAATTGTTAGTTCGCCTGCTGCTGTTGTTGTTGGTCATCCTTCACTAGGTTTTTATTTTTTCAGATTAATACGTTTTTTGTGCTTTTTTAAAACTTAATCCAGGTACGGTTAAATAAATTTGGTTGAAAACTCTTATTATTTTTCGCGTAGATGTTAATTAGTCTTTTGTCTATCACTTATTAAGCACTTTAAAAGAATTTTGTATCGATAGTGTGATGTTGTCGATAGCTTTGCATATATTTTGCCAACTAAATGTCTTTAATCACTTTATTAACCCACTTGTATCCGAATAAATTTGGTTGTTGATTAGCATTTTTGAACTTATGCCTATTCTTTCACATGCAGAGCTGTGGCCTATCAGTCTAGGCTCTCAACCAACTCCCAACCTGACTGACCTACTGGTTTCCACGTAGAACTTTGCACCGATGTGCAACAGTTCGAATCGCCATACATCACTCAGCACACAAAGCAAGGGAAAAAATTAAAAAGAAATGCAAAATAGAGACAGTAAACAGAGATATGAGGCAAAAAGAATGACAATATCCAAAAACCATATGGTTTTATTGGGTATTATAGGTCACAAGGAGTGGATGCATCTGCGCCATTGAGAACGATTTTGAGCCATATCACCAATTGTCTCCAGCCTTCATTGATGTTTACCGTCCCGAGGACCTCCACCAGGAAGTCCGCATCTTCCTACGTGGTTTAAGCTAACTGTTATGGATTTCATTGACTGATGAAGCCATGTTTCAGTTGACCACCACTAGCTCTTTTCAAACCTGATCCATCCTGTGTAAGCTAACATTGCCCTTCGGGGAATGCGATGGCTAGGCAGACGTAACACATGTCCTAACTATCTTAATTGATGCAGCTGTTTCATAATTTCGTCGATTAATTTCCCCTCCTTACCTAGAACTCGACCGGTGCCTAATCTCAACATTGCTCAACCTATTATACCACTTCACACAGGAGATAGAACACAAGCAACTATGATCAAAGACAGCTAATCAAGCTTTTCATGTCTTCCACTCTCAATGACCAGGTCTCACAGCTGGCCATAAAGAAGGATGTAGTGGACTGTTGAGCAGTACACACGCTTTTGGTCTATAGCCAGCCGGATATCACGTCTACGCCAGAGACGGTGTAAACCGGCATATGCGAAACTAGCCTTCTGTATCCGTGCTGAGATTTCGTCAGCAATCAACCAGTTTTCGCAGTTAGGCTTTACACTATGTATGTAGCCTGTCGCCAACTGCTGCATGGAGTCGGAAATGGTTGAGTAATATTTCAGTTTCATTTCATCTTTTCACACATATATGTCGATTTTACTATTCTCTTCAGATTACCAGTCGTTATGATTTGGAGATGGATGAACTAGTGTTTTCTACAATGGAGGCATATGAACCAGGTGATCAGGTAAATCATTTCCGTTTACAATGCTGTTTTCGTAAATAACACTTGAAATACATTTGACCGCATAAATCCTAATTTAAGCCATACAGTTACTTTCATATCCCTTTAGTTGGCAAAAACCTACATTCATTTCCCTCAATCAACTTTTAAGTAGTTAATTAGTCGTGTATATTTTGAGAAACAAAGTCGTAGGAGGTATATTTTTATTAGGATTAAACCTGAGCATTACTATTCTGGTTGGCCAAATTAACCTCACTATCTTCTTATTGGGACAGATTTTGAAAACGTGTATCTTCCCTATCATAGGCATAGGCGCTACTTCCTATGTCTTAGGTTGCGACATATATTAAAAGGGTGCAGTAGAACACTACTCATGAATTTCTACTCCTTGTTTTTTAATGTTTCTCCGTTATCCGGCACATGGTCTGCTTATCCAATTTGCATATACTCTTACATTCGGTTCGTAAAACATATTTTATCTGTGGAGAATCACGTCAATCCAACCTACAACTTATCACACAACAAATATTACTGAATGAAACTGAGATAGATTGGGAATACGCTGAGAAAACCGTTCACTTGTAACAACAGAAGACAGGGGCCAGACAACAGATCGTTTATTAAGGAAATCAACACATATTTATAGATTTTCATGTACATATTATAGATTATTGTTAGCAGAAAAGCACAGTCCTCTGATTGGTTGTTTCTCACAGAAAGTTAACGTTGCACATCTCTTTGTGACTGTTTCTTGAATATCAGATCATCTATATGCTAACTGTATCCGCCTACGCAAAGCCTTTGTTCTCATTTTTCTCACGACCAATATTGGGGACATAAACATAGACGTAAATTACTGTCTGCCAACTTTGGCTAGCAGCCGGCTCTCACCACACAGTGACATTGCGCGCCATGGCACTCTAGTAGCACCTAAATGGAAAACGACGAGTTGGGCGTCTGGTGGTGACATGGAGGAGATGAGAGCTTACAGGGATTGGTGGATCGAGCTAAAAAAGTAGAACTTCAGAGTGAAACGGTGATGTGCTACTGAAATTTTGTATTTCACTCGGAAACCAATGGAATAATACTAGTACATCATTTTCTGTAGTTCCCCATATCGAATCATTTCTTCAGATTCTTTGATATTAGAAAATTCCATAATCCCACCTGAAACAAATGGATTATTGAAATAAACCTGTTGCTTCTTCTTTTTTCATTTTTTGAATTCCCTCTAAAGATATTTATGGATTACGGAAAGCGTACAAATGCAGAGTTTTTTGTTTTTGCTGGTTTCGTACCCCAGTTCAATCCGCACAATGCTGTAACAATAACATTAGGTAAGTTTTTACTGCATAATTTACATCTTTTTTTCCTTCTACAAAATGTATACTGAACCAGTTCTTAAAGGAAAGGCAGACAAGATTTAGAATCAACTCTGTTTATTGTTTTTATATCCTAGTACAATGTAATGCCACTATCAATCTTGTATTATTTAAAAAGGAATGACTAACTTGCAGACTTGTGAATTCAAATATACGACTGATCAGCCGATCTGTCGAAAAGTATTTAAAGAGATCAATGTATGGATTTTTTTCTGTTTTACACCGAGCGATGCTGGGACATCACTCGTACCAAATTCCCATGAAACTTCATGAACTTACAAATTGCCGCGCCTGGGCAGCGATGATTCGAGACGTCATGAAGCCGGCTCATCCTCCCGTAGGAGATAGCCGAAGTAAAGTAAAGTAAGTAAGTACTCAAAAGCATAAATGTCTATTTAATGGAAACAAATTGACCTGCTGTATCTCAAAGCACCTATCAGTTTACACATAAATAGAGGGGGAGTGTTGCTTTATTCCTTTATGTTCTTAGTGGAAAATAGAGCTTTAAGCTGAAGCTTCGAAGCATTGGTGTTTATTTTTACGGGGTGCCGTTGCTAGCCTCATGCCCAGCCTTCTCTCTTTACCGGCTTAGCGATGTTTAGGAGTGCGTTGGCAGGAGATCAAATCCCGAACCATATGAGGCGTGGTTGGCGAGCATTCTACCGCTGTACCACCTACGCACATATAGGAGCATTTAATGTTAGGACACTTTGCCAAATAGGACAACAAGCATCACTAGCCAAGACCCTGGCATCACGAGCCATTGATGTATGTTGTGTTTCAGAAACACGCATACAAGACCCAAGTGTGGTTATTCACCTAACCCCACCTGGCCAACAGGTTGAATCTGCAAAATTCACCTTGAGGGTGTCAGGAGATGCCACAGCTAGTTCACGAGGATTAGCTGGCGTAGGGATAGCTTTGAGTACTAGGGCAGAAAAGACATTGCTTGACTGGATCCCGGTAGATAGCCGAATGTGTGCTGTCCGCCTGAACGGATCAGTAAGAAGGAGGAAGGACTGCACTACTCGCCGATGCCTTTTCGTAATCTCCGCCTACGCCCCCACTGACTGCAGTTCAGATGAAACGAAGGATGAGTTCTACCAAAAGCTGTCTAGTTTGGTGAGAAAGGCTAAACGCTCAGACATAGTCGTTCTAGCTGGTGACTTTAACGCTCAAGTAGGGAAATTGTGTCAATCTGAGAAGGATGTCGGTGGCACCTATGGAGTTCCGTGCCAGCGAACCGACAACGGTGACCGTCTCCTACAGTTCTGCTCTGATAATCATTTGTTTCTTGTAAGCACTAACTTCAAACACAAGGAGAGACACTGTTTGACTTGGAGACCCCCTTCATCAAACCAACGCTGGACACAAATAGACCACATAGCAATAAGCTATCGTTGGCGTGGGTCGGTAGGAGATTGTCGCTCCTTCTGGAACACGTGCGTAGATACCGACCATGCACTGGTCCGCGCTCGGTGTGCTTACGACTGAACGGACGTAGGAAACAGCTGGCGGTAAAACCATCACGTCCCCAGCTCGATCAGGAAACTAAATCCGTATTTGAGGAAGAACTAGCTAAACACATATCTGTGTTCGACAGCTGTGCTCACCCTGAAGAAGCTTGGAAAAATATCCAGGCAGCCATAGATACAGCTGTAAAAGCTGTGAATAAGGTAAACCCAAAGGTGAGTAAAAACCACTGGATCTCCACCGCCTCATCCGAACTGATAGATGCTAGAAGACTTATTCCGGCGAGCTCCGAATTCAATGAGGAGCGAAAGCTGCACAAGAGGAAACTTACGAAAAGTCTCCGCAAGGACCGTGAACAGTGGTGGGCGACAAAAGCCAAAGAGATGGAGAAAGCTTCGAGGATAGGCAACACCAGGCAACTCTTTAGACTCATCAGGGAAACGGGTGGGAGAAGACAAATCATTAGTGAGACAATCTCGGAAAAAAATGGCACTATAATTAGCTCCCAGGATAGACGACTGGATCGTTGGAAAGAGCATTATGAGGAGCAGTTTAATTTGCCCACAGCCACGCTCAACCTTCCGAGCATCCAACACCTCCCTGAATGGGATATAGACACAGGTCCTCCGTCACTAACTGAGGTTACTAAAGCTGTCACCAATCTGAAACTAGGCAAAGCAGCGGGACCTGATGGAATGACTCCAGAGGTATTTAAGTACGGTGGAGACAGCTTACTGTCTGGATTAACTGAGGTACTAGGCAGCGTCTGGGAATCAGAAGAAGTCCCATCGGGTTGGTGTAAGTCACTGATTATCCCCATATACAAGAAGGGAGACAAGTCTTCCTGTGATAATCACAGAGGGATTAGCTTGACTAATATAGTATCTAAAGTCTTAGGCTCAATAATCATGCGTAGACTGAGTGGTGCTCGGGAAGCACAAACACGAGAGAGCCAGGCAGGCTTTAGACCAGGAAGAGGGTGTATTGATCATATCTTCACCCTCCGACAGATTCTAGAACATAGCCATTCCTACCGGCGTCCAACAACCATTATATTTCTTTACCTTAAGGCGGAATTCGATTTTGTGTAAAGGTCTATGTTGAAACCAGTCGATCTCTCTGGCATTAAAACGATTCTATACTTCTGCTTATTTGGCAGTGAACTTAAAAAATTAATTGATATAAGGATAACACTTGGGCACTGTGTTAGTGTATAAACCCATTGTGGATGAAATTTTATTTTGATAAAGTCACAAAGTGTTATACGTGAGTAGTATATACTGATGAAGACGTTTCGATCACAATTTTATTGCTGCTCATAATCATACCAAGGTATTCACATAACTTTGTGACTTCGTTTATATGCATGAGTAAAAATTGATTAGACAATGAGACTTACGTGAAACGGAAAGGAAGGTATAGTACATTCGGAAATAATATTAGTGTTATCAATAAAATACAATAGGAAGGGAAATAAGACGAGTATTGCTAGTCAATAAAATGAGGAACAAGATGCTTTTATAATAAAATAAATAAATAACTTGTTTGAATGTTATAGTGTGAATTGAATACATTTTAACATTATATATTATCCTCCTCTGATTTGACTGGTAATATTGTAACAACAGAAGACAAGGGCTAGGCAACAGATCGTTTATTAAGGAAATCAGCACGTATATATATATATTTCATGTACATTATTATAGCCTATTCAAGCAGACAAACACAGTCTTCCGATTGGTTGTTTCTTGCTCAGGGTTATTCTGTACTGCTTGTCACTGGTTGCTCAGAAAGTTAAGTCATACATCTGCGAATTGTATTTGCACACGTTAAGTCTGCTGTGATTGGTTGTTGAATCAGCCTTGTTCATATTTTCTCACGGCCAATATTAACGACATAGACACTGACGTAAATTAATGTCTACCAATTGGCTAGCAGCCTGTTCTCACCACAATATCTCCCCTATTTCTGGTATTTGTCCATTAAGTCATTCCTATTGCATGTGCATGAAATCATTTTTATATAAATGAAGCAAGAAAGTTGTGTGAGTGAGTGAGTACATCTATATGATTATGAGCAGTAATAAATTCTCGAAACGTGGTCATCAGTAAATATTACTGTATAACAACACTGTGTGTGACTTTATCAAAATAAAATTTTATCCGTAATGGAATTTAAAAATTAATCTTTATTATCTATATTGATTTTAGTCAGATGTTTTTCTTTTTCACAAAATAACATCAACTGATTAGTTGGCAAAAAAAATTATTTTCGATAACTTCCTCATCAGGTTTTACAGTTATAATATAATAACTAGAGAATTATTAATAACATCAGTAATGCTTTAAATAACGTTGAGTCAATCGTATTTGGAGATTAAAGTTGAAAAGCATCTTGTGTAAGTGATAGTATGCATCAGTATAATACTAAACTGATTATCAGATAAATCAAGAAAAAGTAATACAGAGTTTATGATTCTGTCGGAGGCCGTGTGTGGAGAGTGATCGTGGAGTCAGACAGCCAGCTAATAAAAAAGATTAATGAGAATAGGATGAAATGAAGGTGTTCTGTTGAAGCCTCATTATCCACTCGTAATGCAAAGGAATAATAATCATATATTATATAAATAGTGATGCAGGCCAAGGTAACAATAATGACTGAATTGGCGAAGTTCAACAATAGCATCCCAGGAAGTGCGTATGCTCCAGTGACCTTGAACACATGCTAGCCGCTGGCTGACTGACGGCACCTGTCATTATCATAGCTGAAATATCAACGCTGATCATCAACTCAGGAGGAAATTTCACTCAGATCACGTTTTTTCAAGTACTGTTTGGACAATGTGTTAATAGCTCGTTAGGGTTAGAATCAAGGTCATAATTAGCATTAGGGTTAGGTTTACGATTAGGATAAGGGATGTAATTAAGGTTAGTGTTAAGTTTAGGGTTAGGTTTACGACTATTTAGAGTTGATGTCATTTATTTCAGTTTGTTTTCTTATCCACATTTTCCTCGTAAGTAGTTGTCGATCCTCTTACTGGAAACCATAGTAATTCAAACGAAAGCTTTTGGGGAAAGACTGCACAACAGGAGAAGAGAGATAAACAATTCATAAAAACAGCTCATCTTTGATCACCTCGGTGTCTGTCTGGATTCAAGTTCTATGTTGAATCCAGACAGACAGACCTCGGTGAATACATGTACAGAAACTAGTCTAACTTAGCAACTAATACTCCTTATTATAACTGGGACGTATTTCTAAGTCATATCAGAGAAAGATATTCTGTTCAATGTATTTTCATGCATTTTCTTGTGAATACACGTCATTTTTTGTGCAAAAGTCACTTATTCTTATGATTGGTCGGCTGAAGGTCACTCGTGCGTTCGCGTCGGTTGGGAGGCTGTTGTTAAAATTTGCCGCTGAATTTGCTTCTTTTGCATTCTGAGCTCCGGTTGTTTTTTTTAGCGAATTTCAATGGCCTCTGCTGTCTGAAGTATTCTATACCTAGAGGCTTTTTTTCAATTTATTTTGTGCTCGATAGATGATGGGAAAAGATTTTTTCAGTACTGGCTTTAATAGCCTTTTTGAACCAAAGTCATCGAATATCTGACTGTTAATGGATTTCATTACACACCTTTATCAAGCCGAATTGGCAAGTAATCTTGAGTACTAAAACCTAAGTTCCTAGAACAGCGGCCTATATGTAAGTGGCTCCATAGGAGCAGTTGAATTGATACAATTTTTCTACGTAACTTTTCCTTCTACCTTAATCATTATCCCTACCTCTTTTTGTTGTATTCTCGTTTTATTTTACAAAGGTATTAATACTTCTGATTCGCTGGGGAAAGTACGACAACAATTATTAGAAATGTTTGATTTGAATGTGTAAGTGTGTATTGTTTTTATTATCTAAATTAGTGCTGTAGTAAATCAATAATACTTTTAATTGAATGGCACAGAGATCAGATCAGGATAATGAGAGAATATTAGTTAACTTTATAGCCTTTCTAGTTGTATCGATATGAATTGCTATTTCCACTTTATTGCTTAATGCTAATCAACTCTCTGAAATTTCTAAGAAAATCTCATGCAGTTTCCCTGCTTGTAACAGTACAATAAAATCTGATTGACATGTGTCAAATATGAGATTATAAAGATTGTGATTATAAAGAAAAACCTAGTTGCTAATTTTGCAATTATTGCTCTTTCTTGACTCCCCAGCAATGTTCATAGCACACAATCTTTTAGTGACACTTACTATTTGTAGTTCAGGTGGATTATTTCGATATGGTTGTTTTCTTTGAACTCGGTGATCTAATTATCTATCTTTCATTGTCTTTCCAGACAACATCTTCAGCTCAGAGTTAACTTATTCAAATACTCCAAAATGATATAATTGTATTTCAGTTATTAGATTTTCATCACGAACCAACATCACTTAGAGAGGTCATTGAAAACCAGGGAACACGGGACAACTTTTTTGCCGTGTTTTGGGACTCTTCTGTAGTGCACATCCACGATTCCACCGAAGATCGAACGCGGGATCTTCATGTTAGGGGTTTCAACTCATTGACCATTCAACCGCTTAGGCTGGAATTGAGTGACTCCTGAGTTCTAACTTTGTCGATTCGTGATATAGCTCCTGCCCCCTTACCAACTCCTTCAATGAGAATCCCTTGTTCACCTCGGCATGGTGGGCCTTACTGGTTACGACTTCCCACTGCAGATTCTGGACGTCTATCCAGTAGCCATCACTGAGCTGGCGATTGATTTTCAGATTATGAGGTTTGTAGGGATTTTGGATCAATTCCAACTATTAGACTTTCTTCACTAACCAATAGCCGGGTTCGATTCCTGGCGAGATCGTGGGTGTACACTACAGAAGGGTCCCAAAATATGACGAGACAGCTGTCCAGTGTCTTGTGGTTTCCACTGATCCCTCTAACTGATGTTGGTTCTTGACGAATATCTAGCAATTGGAAATAATCCAAAATCCCCACAAACCATATAATCTGAATGTATGATTGCATCATCTGACCGTCCTTATCGTGATTCATTTGCACTTGTTTCGACCGCTTCTCATGGCTTGGAAATCGACCGTTGTTCTTTATTAGTTGATAAATCTGATATATACCAATATGTCTGTCGATCGCTGGTTCGTCTGAGTACGAGGCTTCTAGGAATTCCCTGGTATTTTCTATATTTTTACATATTCCCATTCAAATAACTGTTTTCAGTTATCTATATGCATCGATATGGAAAAATGTATGTCGTGTCTTTTAACAGCTGTTTTATGTCCTTGAACTTGGAGTTAAAAGGGACACCCACTATGACCAGTGTAGCTCCTACCATAGTTCGACCAATTTATTTTGTAGACGGTGTTAATCTTGTCTTTTTTTGCTGTTTGGTCTTATGGTCTGCATCGTTTTGACTGAAGTGATTGTATTGGTTTGTGTACAACACATCTATTTCGAATAGTTTTAGTATTTTAGTTATTAATTCAGAATTATTCTTTGCATTTATAATAAAATAAATTTTCTACGTTTTCTGAAGTCGTTTTCTTGCTGTCCTTTTGACTTGAGTTTGGATACTTTTTTAAGTGTAATTATAAAGGTATCCATTTTTGTTGAAGATAGTTAGTAGACATTTTTCTTCTATTCTCCTCAGAACTGGAGTGCTGCATTGTTGTGTTCTTAAATCAGTATACGTAGAGTGTTTGTACTTACATTGTGATAGTTGCATATTGTTATAAGTAAAAGATTAATTAAGAGTTTACACTATTATTATTATTATTCCCTTGACTTCTGAGTGGAACATAAAACTTCAAAAACACATCTCCACTTTCTTCTATTTTCTGCCACCCTCTTCAGCTGCGTCCACGATTGACCATAATCTCTCATCTTTTCCTCACACTATCTCCTCATACCCTCATACTGACGACCCAGTCATCGCTTCCCATTTGGATTCCATTCGAGCAATGGCCTGCATTGCGTGAGATGTCATTCGACTGTCTTCTCAACGTAATCATGATCCATCTCTATTTCCTCTTACATATTTATTGAGCAATCGGCTCTCACCTGTTAGTTTGTTCCCAGCAAGAGTTTCTTGTTAATAATTATTTCTGGCTGGCTGGTCATTTGGTCTTCATTACTGGGCCACCGAAGTTGGCAGCTGTTGATAAAAGTCTCTAATTTGTCGGAAATCTTTTTCAGATATTAAATGGCATGAGAGAAAGGCTAAGTGGTGAACTAGTGATAACTTATGCAAAGAATTTGGGCAAAGAATTAAAATGCCAGTGTTTATTGCCCTTCAGGAAACAAAGGAGAACAAGAATTATGAACACCTTGTAAATTTATACTATCTTTTTATCCTTGAAAAGGATAGCTGCTCGTACACCGATTTTCTTGTCAACCATATTTTATTTCATTTAATTTCAGGAATGAATACATACTTTAATAGAAGCGTCCCTCCATTAATTAATTTGCCTATAAAATATAACTATAACTGATCACTGATTTAGCAGTTCACAAACTATCCTTGTCACTTCATTAATATTTTGTAAGTGTGTCGATTGATATTTGCTCACATCAGCGTGGCTAATATAGATAGTGTCGACATTCTTAATGAATGACTCAGTGATGGAGCTAACAATGTGCTGCAGTTACTTAGCTAGTTCCTAAAGTACTACTATACAAAATAAAACGGTGTGTTGTCTACCACACACTTAAGAACACTTTGAAAGACAGTGTTAATCGTCACTTAGTGTCAATTCATTCTTAGTATTGCGTAAGACCAAATGTTAATCTCGTTCACATTAACTTACCCCCTTTTTTATCCATAATTTAGGCCTTTGAATTGCAACCTATCTGGTAATATTAAATCCATGACAGAATTTTTCATATTTTCACGAGTATTTTCCATGAATGAAGGTAAGTTCTGTAATTGTATACACATATAAAATTAAAGATTTCGAGTTATTTAAATATAATTAGTTTGCTAAATTTGTTGCATAGAAGTGACATTCTATAATGAAAGCAGCATTGTAATAAAGGTATTGAATCAACAATAGTGTAGTGTTGAAATGACTTCAATCAACAGCTTGAAGAATAACTTGGCTAACCTGATATTTGAAGATTTTCTGATGTGTGTTGCATGCAGAATAGACGATGTAGCTGAATGGTTATTCCATGATCATCATGTTATGTGTATGTTCTTTACTATTTTTTCATCACTGGTACTATTGTCTTGTCATTATTCGATCACAGTACGCCAATAATGTCAATTTTCATAGTTAACTAGCTACCGCAAAACTATCTTATCTCAAAGTTTCCGAATATGCTGTATCTACTTCAGTATGTTTTCTTATACAAGACTACATTTTTATTACTTGGGCACTTATTCCTAGGCAGTATCGTTTCAGCTATAGGCGGTACGGATAAGAATGTCAAAGCCAAGATCGGAAAAGAAGGACAGACTGGCATTACTCTGATAGCACTGAGGAAGTCGACTGCACTCAGCATAAGGAACAGGATTTGGATTTTCAACACTAATACCAAGTTAGTCAGTGCTTCAATATGGTTCAGAGACTTGGCGCATCACCAGAAGCATTTTGTACAGGCTTTACACTTTTATAAATAGATGTCTTCACCGCATACTGAAGATAGGATGGCTGGTTGAAAAAGATTAGCAACAACAAACCACTCTAGAACCCAACGCCAAACGAAAATGGAGATGGATTGAATATTCGCTGAGGAGGCCGTTGAATGGCATAAGGTGCTAGGCCTTAGAGTTGAAACTGAATGAGAAACGACGATTTTGGCGTGTATCCGAGGTTGACAATGAGAAGATTGTGTGAGATGGAGATGAAAGCTTATGGGCAGTCGTCGAAGTAGCTTAAAAAGACCTCAGAGAACAACATGAAATGGTGATTTGTTACCGAAACTACATTCTTCTCCCGAAACCCAAGCTAATAATAGCATTCCAGTAATATCGAGATGATTAGTTACCGTGAACTAATATCATAAATCACTATGAATATATGTTCACAGCTGCTCAGCTTTGAATAACTACATTGTCTAGTACCGTATTTACAAATCAAGAAATACTAATATACTAGGCTACCAGGAAAAAATATATATGCCGAGTTTACACAATTTCTAAAGTGTTAATGATATAACTCTGATGTATTGCAATAGTTATACGAGCTCGCCTTGTATCCGGAAGGTCCTGGTTCGAATCCCGGTGGGTGCGTACTAATGAAGAGTCTCAAACTAGGACGAAACAGCTGTCCAGTGCTCCCAGGTTTTCCAATGGTTCTCTAACTAATGTCAGCTCATGATGAAATCCTGAAACCAATCAAATTCCTACAAACCAACACGAATATTGCAATAGTTATTATTTTTCCCTTTGGTTCCGTATGGAACAAAGGGCTTCAACAGCATATCCTCCATTTTACTCTGTTCTCTGCATTCGTTTATATTTGGCTTCATGATTACCCATTAACTTTCATCTCCTCCTGATGCGGTCTCTTCTTTATCACTATTGGATAGCCAACTCGTCGTTTCCACTATAGAGTGCCTGGCACATAACGTCACTCTACGGTCGTCACACAGTGTGTCCATACTATTTCGATTTCTTTCTGCATATATGTTAGGCCCATAGGTTGTGTTAGCTGGTTCGTCTCACTGCCAGAGTTCTTTGTTGCTAAAATCCTTTCTGACCATTTGATCTTCAGAATGGAATGAGGAAGCAGTTGATACATGTCTGCGAAAATATACATTATCTCCCCTATTCGTCGATCGAACTAAGTTAATTAATTAGATTTTTCATACAATTAGTAATCATAGATTTTTATACTAAAACAATGAAAACAATAGTTGTATAACTATTAACTGTAACATAAATAAGAATTTTAGGCATTTACAATTTTACCATATTACTACTATTCTTTTGGGTTCCAAATGGAACATAGGGCTTCAACAACACATCTCCACTTTTCCGCATTTCCTGCAGTCGTATTCAGTTTGGCCCAAGGTTGACCGTAATCTCTCATCTCTTCCTCACACGATCTTCTCCATGTCATCCTCACACTAACGACCCACTCGTTGCTTCCCATCTGGATTCCACTCGAGCAATGGGCCTGCATTGGGCACGATGTCATTCGACGGTCTCCTCAATGTATTCCCGATCCATCTCCATTTTCTTCTACATATTTGTTCAGCAATCGGTTCTCGCCTGTTGGTTTGGCAGCTGTTAATGAAAGTCCGCAATAGCCTGTTGGAAATCCTTTTCTTGACACAGAGTGCAAGTTTCTGACCCGTATAGAAGAATTGACTGACTGACTTCACATTTGTGTTGAAGATCCGAATCTTGTTGTTTATGCTGGCTGAGTGCAATGCAGAAGATTTCCAAACTGGTTTCAGGTTAATGAATGCGTATCTGGTCATTCCGATTCAGGTCGGCTGGTTTTGACATCTTCATCCGTTCCGCCTGTATTTGAAACGATGCTGGCTTCCTAGATAAGTGAAGAAAGGCAGTAACCTCTGTTAAATCTCTCCCGTTGATGGTGTTTGCTGCTGGGTGTTGTTGCTTTTGCTGTTGCTTGGTTATCTTCATCACCTTAGTCTTCTCTGTGTTCACCTGTAGTCCTATCTTCGCCGTCTGTTTCTTCAACCACTTTTTTGTTTTTCGCCTCTAGGTCTTCGAATTTGTGTGACATTATACATAAATGATCCACGCGACAATTCCAGATCTTCTAGAGTCTTCTTATTCGTCGAATGTATTCCTGTCTTCTCGCTCCCCATGCACAGTCTGGCGCATTATCCAGTCCACCACAATTAAGAATATCATCGGTGATAATAGGCAGCCACCTTGTCTCACCCCTGTCCTCTCACTAAAAGATTCACTAAGTTTTCCGTTGTGGATCGCCTGACACATGCCAATGTTTTATTTTACATGAGGCCGATAAAGACTTGAGTACTGCACGCCGTATTGTTGAAGCAGTTTCCAAATTAATTCTCGGTGAACTCTCTGTCGAAAGCCTTCTGGAAGTCGATAAAGTTAAGGTAGAGGTTTGACTGCCATTGTATGCTTTGTCGATGATGATGCATAAAGCTGCGATTTGATCAGCATATGATTCGCCTTTCCTGAATCCAGCTTGTTCCGGGCTGGTGGAGTTCTGTATCCAGTGCATCTTTTATTCCCTCCAGGATGACGTGACTTAGTTGACTGCGAGGTCAACTATGTAGATCCGACCAGAAGATCAGTACTTAGATTATTGGAACGTGAATATATAGCTAAGCGTAGAATGATTGACCCTAGAACATGGTGCCTGACTTAGTGTTATAACTGTAGGTAATTAGATGAGGACGTTGTCGCCTTGTTCTGTCTGCGCCTGACTAATATGCCTATCTGCTTGTGGTACCTTCCGATTCAGTGAAGCACGCAAATATCAAAAGACAAAGACTGGACTGTGACTGTGTATTGTAGTACAACAAAAACGACAAAGAAAGTCATGGTATTTATACATTTTACAACAATATGGACAGCTAACAGCATTTGAAATAATTGATCGTAATAGTCAATAACAAAGTGCGTGAGAAATGATGATATACCATATATGCGAGATTAAAAGTCAATAACAAAATGTGTGGGAATGATGATATACCACATATGCAAGACTAACAGTCAATACCAAAATGTGTGGAATCCTATCACTTAGAGAATAACTTGGCAATAGCAATGTATGCATTAACACAATAGGTGGAAAAGAGCTACAATTCTACAAAGTAATATGGATAGGTGGAAGGAGAGGTTGATTATTTAATATTTGTTCATTGACTATACGTCGAACGTGTTCAATAAGAGTGGAACAATACTAATACTAATACCATCATAAATAATAAGTTGTGCCCGTAACGTGGACATCAGTAAATAATACTATATAACACTGTGGTTTTTATCAAATAAATTTGTTCTATTCTGAAACTATGGTTTACCACAATGCCCAAGTTCTACTCTTATATCAATGCAGTATGATTTCTGGCAATTTTCTAAAAGGTGTTCATGAGAGCTAACTTTAATTGACCAATTTAAAGAATAGCGGTCGAGGAGTGCGAGTGCGCCAGTGACTTTGAACTCACATTATTCATTGGATAATGGGACCTACCACTATTATAGCGCCATTGTGAATGTTGTGCACAAATTGAGGTGCTAATTTCATCCCGATTCCGTTTTTGATTACTGTTTGGATAATGTGTTGATAATTCGTTAAGGTTAGGGTTAGGTTGACAATCAGGTTTAGGTTTGAGGTTGAGATTAAGATTAGTGTGTTTACATTTTTATTATCTGTGTTATTCTAGTAAATAGACAGCCTTTTTATTCCGATTGATTGCCTCAGGATCAGTCTTGGGTTCGCATACCTTGGATGGCCATTCATTAACTTCGCTCTTTGATTTTTTACCACAGAGGTTTACTATATTATTATCCTTATTGTTACTATTATTATATCTCTTATAGATGAGCTTAATAATCAACTAACAGAAGCTAATTCAAATTGTACAGCAGTGAAATCGAAATTAAGCGACTTGAAATTTAACAAAGGAAATACCTTAGACTGCAAAGCATTTACTTTTTTAATAAACCGTTTAAAATTACTGATTGCTGCTTACGGAACTGTTATCTCAGAGGTTAGTGCATTATCTATAGATTTTTATTTAATATATTCGTGTTTTTACTGAAATATGCAAGTAGTATGTTATAAAACCTATTAGAGTTATATCAGCTAGCTGATTGAACTGTCTGTTTAAACAACTGGGTTACCAGATTGTGTCCATCCATCCAAAATGCATGTGCGTCGGTGATTCACTGGTAGGAATGCTTGCCAACTACACACGTAATCCGGGGTTCAAATGCTGGCCGACACACTCTTAAATCTCGCTTAACCAGTATCATGCTCGATGAAGAGGAAAGGTGATGCAACAGTCTAGCAACCCCACCCCGTAAAAAAGAATAACACTACTGTGTTAATAAAATAAATAAAAAATCGAAATGTACCATGAGTCGCAAATTACTCATATGCACATTTCTAAACAGATTTCAACCTACTTGTATGGAGTTTTAAAAGAAATGGAAGAAAAACTGCGGAATAAGTAAGGCGTTCTTCAGATCTGTCTGTCTATCTGGATTCAACATAGAACTTGGCACCGAAGTGCACCAGTTCGAGTTGCCACGTTCCAAATAGCACACAGAGGTAGACAAGAAGATGAGTGAAGAGAATCAATAGAGTTTGACAAGTATAAGAGTGAAACAGAATGGGTAATGGTAGAAAGGAATATGAAAGATTACAGAGACTGAATACATCTGCGCCATTGACAACGATTTTGAGCCATGTCACCTATTGTCTCCAGCCATTGATTCCTAGAGTCCCGAGGGCCCCAACCCGGAAGTCTGCATCTCCCTACCTGACTCAGTTTAACTGTCAAGGATTTCATGGATTGATGAGGCCATGTTTTTGTTTGGCCACCACTGGCTCTTTTCCAACCTGCACCTATATCAGCTAGTAATGCCCGTCGGGGGAGGCGGTGGTTAGGCATGCGCAGCACGTGACCTAGCCATCTTAGTCTATGTAACTTTATAGCCTCGTCGATTGATTTTCCCTCTTTGCCCAACACTCTACGCCTAACGTCAACATTACTTACCTTATTAAACCACCTAACGTGAGACAGAGATCGCAGACATCTATGATCGAAAGCAGTCAACCTTTTCATGTCTTCAACGCGTATTGGCCATGTTTCAGAGCCATAGAGAAGGACGGAGCGAACTGATGAGCAGTACACACGTCCCTTGGTTGATAACCGGATGTCACGCCTACGCCAGAGATGGTGTAAGTCAGCGAAAGCAGCTCGAGCTTTTCGGATCCGTGCTGAGATTTCATCGCCAATCAGTCCGTTGGTGCTAATACAACTTCCCAAATAGGTGAAGTGGTCAACATGTTCTATCACTTCACTCCCTATCACTAAGTTAGGAGTTGACGTGGTCCAGTCCTGTAGCAGCATCTTACATTTTGTAGGGGCGAATCGCATGCCAAACATACGAAGATTGCTGCTCAAGGTGTTCAGAAGACTCTGCATTTTGTCAGCATCCTCCCCTAACAGGACTATGTCATCTGCATATTCTAAGTCCATAAGACTATTCCCTGGTAACAAGTCGATTCCTAAGTCATTACGTTCAGTTAAGGATACTTCCATCAGCATATCTATGATGAAGTTAAACAGAAATGGGGAAAGTGGACATCCCTGTCGGACACCACTGGTTGTTACCAATTCAGATGACAATTCCCCATAAGCCCTTACACGACTACGTGAGTTTGAATAGAGTGCCTTGATTAGTGCAATGTACTTTCTTGGCACTCCCTTCACAGTCAGACATTGCCATAGTACCTTTCGATCCACGGAGTCGAAGGCCGCCTTCAAGTCAAGAAATATGACAATTGTTGGACGCCGAAAAGTGTGTCTATGTTCTAGAATCTGTCGAAGAGTGAAGATATGATCTATGCACCCTCTACCTGGTCTAAAGCCTGCTTGATTTTCCCTTGTCTGTTCCTCCCGAGTTCTGCTTAGTCTATGCATGATTACTGAGCCTAGGATTTTAGAGACTATGTTCGTTAGGCTGATCCCCCTATGATTATCACACGAGGACTTGTTTCCCTTCTTGAATATCGGTATAATAAGTGACTTACCCCAGTCTGATGGCACTGTCTCTGATTCCCAGACTTTGCCTAGTACCTCAGTTAATCTACAAACTAGTATGTCACCCCCATATTTAAACACCTCCGGAATAATTCCGTCGGGTCCTGCCGCTTTGCCTCGTTTCAAATTACTGATAGCTTTTGTGACCGTTCTTCAGATAGAATAATATTATTTCAAAGGACACATTATTGACTATTATATTACTTGAAGATCTTTCCCAAAGGGTAAATGCCTTGCTGTAAAATCAACTGAAAATTCTGTAATGTGTTTGAAACACACTTTTAGAATATACCTTCTATTATCAGTTATTATCTGTACTGTGCAGGGTCATTAATTAGGTCATATGTTTTGTTTATAATCATAACTGTTTATCATAATCGACGATGGCGTAAACCTTTAATAGGTAGGAGTGGTTTTGAACTCTGGATTAATAAATGACTATTATTTTATTCCTTTGCGTTCCTAGTGGAACATAGTGCTTCAAGCTTTCAAGTTTCAGTAGCAGTGGTATCATTTTTACGGGGTAAGGTTATCAACCTCACGCCCAACCTTCCCTCCTTACCAGATTTACTACCAGCTTAGTGAAGCTTAGAAGTGCATCGGCCGAGGACTGAACGCTGCACCACATGCGTGGTTGGCCAGCGTCCTACCCCCGAATCACTGACGCACTCATAATGAAAGGTTAAATAACTTCCAATGCTACAAGTGTAAACAATGATCACTCTCCTGGTTTTAATACAAATAACGTCCTCAAATGTCTCCAATTCTTGAAGCCTATTCAATCCCTCAGTCCAATTGTTGTGCCCTTTATTATCCTCAGAAAATGTATGGATATTTTATGTCATCCTCTCACTGATATTTTCAATGAATCATTTTCCACTTAAGTTGTTTCTGCTTCTTGGAAGGTTATTAAAATTGTTCCTGTGCCTAAATTATCAAGTGTTTAGTTTAGACCTTTTGGTATTACCTCGGGATGGTAATGGCAGCTAGAGGCAATTGGTGATATGGCTCAAAGTTTTTTTTAGTGGCTAGCGCAGATACATTCACTCTTTGTTATTTACCGTATCCTATAAACTTCTATTGCTCTTCCATACTACTGTTCTTTTTCCCTCACACTTCCGTTTATTATTTCTCTTTTGAATCTGTCTTTACTCTCTTTTCTTGCTTTCAGTGCTACATGGAGTGTGGCAACTCGAACTGCTATACATCTGTGCAAAGTTGTATGTTGAAACCAATCAGTCAGTTATTACCTCACCATTTTTTACAATAATGGAAAAACTGATTTTACTTAACCTTGGGCCTTCATTGAAGGTTTTTAATAGCACTAAACAGTTTGCTTATAAACATGTTAGGTATGCTTTAGATTCCACTGTTGTCTTGCATCATAATATTGTGTCTAGTTTAAACAGAAGTACCAAATATGTTCAGTGTGCTTCGCTTATTGATACATATACCTTCGACTCTCTACCTAGGCTTCTTTTTTTAAAGAAGCTTGCTGCGACACAATCACGTTGCTGGATAATTTATGGTTGTACTCTTACTTTCCTCATAGAAAGCAGTACACTGTACATAGTAGGAACTCTCCCGCTGCTTTACTTACTCTAGCCGGTGTTCTTCAAGGTACTGTTCTTTCTCCTTTTCTGTTTTCTTTGTTCTTGCATCACTTACCTCATTCTGATGAAGTCTGAAGTGCCGGTGATCCGACTGTCTCCTTGCCGACGGTTACTTCTGTATCAGATTGTCCCAAAATAAACAACTTTTTGTCAGAAATTAGTTACTGTTCCTTGTCAAAGCTAAGCTAAGTCCCTCCAAATATCAGGTTATTAATTTCACTTCCAGACACAAGCGTGACTTACATGAAGTGTTTCTTAAGCATGATTCTGCTGAATTCGAAACTAAGTCAAGTGTTAAATACCCTGGATTGTGTATTTCCTCTGATCTTTCCTGATCCTTCCATATCATGTTGGTTACGTTCAACGTTCTTCGTAAGGAAGTTAAGCCTGTCTGGTGTCACTCAGCCTCTTCTTTTACAGCTTGTTGATTCATGTATCCTACATAACCTTCTTTATTGGTCTCCCTTAATCTTTCCTTGGCTACTTAAGAAAGACGTTTTTACTTGGTGAATGGCAGTGAAAACTATCAGTTAGGGGTGGAGGGTATCGCTAGACCACCTTGTTAATGCTGTCGTAGATATACACTTCAACTTAAGGAAGAAATAAGCGAATATCATGTTGTCGGACTCTAAGCATCCTCTCTTTACACAGTTTTCTCCTTGCATTTCATCAGGTAGGACTAAAAGCACCTAAAGAAAACTTTATGTTTGGACGATTAGGTATAAAAAAAACTCTACAATACCTGATTCGGCACACATCTTATGTGCCGAGAAGAGTGTTCGGTATGAAACCATTAATAACTTACTGCGAAGCATTAAGTAAACAGCCTTTTTTATTCTTCCTTTCATTATTGTATTGTGGTCAATATTTCCAATTGAATTTTAAATTCATATTCTTTTTTTCATTCCTTCACGTTCTCAGTGGAACATAGGGCTACAAGCTAGAGACTTGAAGTTTCTTTAGCAGTGTTTATTTTCACAGAATGGGGTTGCTAGCCTCATGCTCAATCTTCCCTCTTTACCAGTCTGTTCACTGGCTTAGCAGGGTAAAGGAGTGTGTCGGCCGGGGATCAAACCCCGGACCATGTTCATGGTCAGCGAGCGTAATAACCGCTGTACTACCGACGCACACTTTCATATTCTTATTGAACAATGGTATTATCAGTGCAAATGGTTTCTTAATTATTTCCCCATGTACTATGTAGTTTAAAGAGGAAATTAGATGCATTACCGTACTATATACTTAAAAATTCCACAATTTACCAAAAGTACTGTTTGGAATAAAGCTATTACTACTATTTATTATGATAATATTAGTAATAGTACTTTATCTAAATAGTACTGTCAGTTAACGGGAATTTAAACACAAATTTTCATAGTGATATGAATCAATTATTTATTTGAGTAATATACTTTCTCTCTACTTATATCATTTATTCGCCATTATGTCACAGGATAATCCAGAATGGAAAGAATTATCATTCATACGACAAAATTGTGAACGTCTCAAACGTCAAGAGGTTGCAATTTTACGCTCCAGTATTGAATGTGTTCTGCCTATGATGGACGATGGCAGTGATAATAAAAAAATAACAACAGTAACATGAGAGCCACAGATGGAATGTATATTCTCCAGCATTATTTCGATTAATAAATAGCACGGAAACTGTTCAGTGCTCAGTTTAACGTTATCTTATGTTTATACCACACCCATGTGTTGTTTTTCTGCCATATAACCCATGACACAATAACAGAAATTGCTCTATTATGTATTTATTTCTGTTTTTTGTTCACCGTTCCACCTTCCCATGTGTTGTTTCCTATACAAAATTTTTGTTATGAGTTTTGTAATTAGAAGAAAAAACGATAATAAATGCATTCTACTTATCTACATGCTTTTTTCCATGCGTTTTTTTTTGAATCATGGCAAGCAGAAATAGGTGAGCTCACATATGAACAATCGCTTTCCAACTGTGTGGTGGTTTGTCGGACCTTTTTTGTTGTATTGCATGGTGTTGGTCTAGTATTTTCATCAATGTCCTTTGTTTTGTTTTTGTACTGGTAGTGAATACTTACCTACTTGTTTGTGCCTTTTTTCGCCTCCGCCGCCGTGCATTTCTCCCACTCTGTCAGTTTATCCTACTTCTCGTCGTCGTCCTCCTCCTCCAAACGCCTTTTTAATACGCTGTTCCCCATAGACCCACCCACCTAATCCTCTAAATATTTCTTCCCCTTCTTTTTCACTGTTATCATCACCATTGAAATTAAATAACAATCGGGAAAAGAAATTCTGTTTTTGTTCTTATTAAAAGAAATCTGAATTGATTGAATATATACCTTAAAATATTTGCATTTGTTGTATATATATATGTTAACTATTGCAATAAGGTGTAAATACAATCGTTCTACTCATTGTTTATTTTGACTTTTCAATAGTTACTTCATATATATATATATATATATATATATATATACAAAAGCACTTCTTTTTTAAAATATTGTGTGTTCCTTTCACTCCTTTGCGTTCCAGTTGGGACATAGAGCTTCGAGCACCTAAGCCTTGGACTTCTGGTAGCAGTGGTGTTGTTATTTTCACGGGTTGGTGTGGCTAGCCTCACACTCAGTCCTCCCTCTCTTCTGGTCTTGCTACCGGCTAGGTGAAGTTTAGAAGTGCGTTGGCAGGGAGGGGGAGGAATCGAACTCAGGCCACTCACGTGACTAGCGAGCATTCTACCTACCACTGAACCATCGACATCATTCGGTATAAATTAGTTAAACTGATTGTCTAACGGATTAATTCTAATGTATCAGGTTGGTTTAGTCACTAGTTCGAATCCTTCGGTAAATGCATTCATCACTCTAGAATATTTTTCATAAATTCACGTTTTCCTAACACCAGTTCACTGCTTATGAAATTTTTATTAGATTCAACGCTCATTTTCATTCCCAGTAGACCTTTTTTGAAGAGTTTGCAAGTCTGAGTGATAACGTACGATATATGTCACAACCACCAACCAATGTAATAGTCAAGTATTTGTCCTCAGACCCAACTTGGTTGATACCCATTGGCCACAACTTCTCACTAGAGAAGTCCAAGCAGTTTCATCCTGTATTTAGTCACCAATGAGCATTGGATTAATTTTCCATTGTTCGTTTGCCGGAATCATGAACTGACATCAATTGGAAAATCATTGAAAACCAGGGACAGCTGTTTCGTCGTTATTTGGGTTTCTTCAGTAATTCGTACCCATTGCTCCACCGAAAGTCGAACCCACGAGCTTCGGGTTACGAGTTGAGACCATTGACCTTTCAGCCCACTGAATGATAACTGAGTGAAGGCAATAGATTTGCTTGTCAGTTGTTCTTGTTGAGCCTTTGGATATGAGTATGTGGAATTTATCATAAGAGCGCTTACTGAATTGGAAAGAATAATATCAGTGCTGTCCTAGCTGAAGTCATTTAAAATCATTCTTTATAGAATACTGAAGACTAAAATGAACTGAATAAATATCGTATAATCTTAGCTTGCCAGTCAGTTTTCGATCCTTGGATTCGCACAAATACCATACAACCATAGTGTAACTGTTCAGACAATTCATGATTTTGTGCAGGTTTGATCACAAGTTGACAAGAGTTAGAGAAGCACTGAGATACTGGACAAGTGTTTCGTCCTAGTTCTAAACTCATCGTCGATACGCATCCACTGGGTAGTTCAGTATTCCTAGGTTTTCCACTGGTTCTCTAACTGATCTCAACTCGTACTCGAACCTATAACCAGTCAAATTCCTGTAAACCACCACACGTGCGTCGGTGGCACAGTGGTTAGGACTCTCGCCGACCATGCATATGGTTCGAGATTCGATCTCCTGCCGACGCACACCTGATATCTATGGTCGGCCTGCAAAATTTTGGCTACCAATTTCACATGCTGAGAATTCCATACTTGTACCAAAAATACGGTGTGGAATCAAGCCGCAAATAAAATTCTCCTCAAATTCATGATTTTAATTAGGAAGTAGATTTCATAGTGGTTTTTGTTATGAGAGTTGTTGTGACTGGAAAACTGTGCTTAACCAAAATTCTATTCTAAATCTAAGCCAGAACTTTCAGGTAATGTGTGAAGCGTTGTACGTTTCATCAGATAGATGTGAAATGTAATAAAAATGAGATGAGCAAGTAAATTCAGTTCGTTAAACCCTTACAAATCTCTGATGATCGCGAAATAAAACACCTTTAAAAGTACTAATAACTGTTTAGCAAAAGAATGATCAACCAGTGCATATGTATACTGCATATATACACCATAAAAAAATACAAATATTAAAAAATAAACAGGGTGGCATCTGTAGGTTTAATTTTTTACTTAATTTTATTTAGTCCATATCTCATTAATGTTCTTTTTCAACTGAAAATCTTTTTATTACAGTACTAAACTCACTCAATTTACGGCTAGTATTATTGACCTCCTTAAATCAGCTGTTCGTTATAGCTTGTTATTAAGTCTGTGATATTCAGTCGCTTTCTCACCAGTAGTTCCATTGAAATTCCAATAGCTACCTTTTTGGTCATAGTGACATTGTTTAGTAAAAAGTGTGAAACTGTAGTTCATGGGTTTAGACAATTGATTTGTAGCCATTCAGTTACTGGTTTGGACTCTGTTCTGTACACGAAGGTACGGACTGGATTCTATCAGTCTAATGTGCACTGTGGCCACCATGCTAGATGGCTCATCATCACGGTGTACTCTGAATTGTTTTGATTAGATGATTCCGTTGAGAATTCCAGAAGGAACATTAGTTCCATCAAGATTGCAGATATGCCTTGCTGACGATTGTTAACAATCACGAAACCTTAGTTCAGGACTTCCTACCGATTGCCTCCAACCATCTTATGACAACAGTTCAGAGTGTATCGTGATGATGAGCCAACTAGCCTGGTGGACACAATGCGGCCTTGATTGACAGAATTCAGTCTGTAGCAAACAAAGGACCAGACATATGATACCGGTTAATTACTATCTACATTCCAATCAAAGTATCCAACACAGTCCTACAAGAGGTCAGTGGTAACGTCTCTGACTCCAGCACTAGATGACACGAGTTCGAACCCCAGATGCGACGTGAGTTCCTTCAAGGCAGCAGATATGACTTGCTGATGGGTGCCAACTTCCTCCAAACATCTATTAGTGGAACACCTTTGAAATTAAGCAGTATTACGCTTGTGTTTTCATTCTGAAAAACAATTATTTCATTGGAAGCAATTGATTTTTAAGTTTTATGCTGAGTAACTTTTGTGATAGATGTCATCTAACTGGGTACATCTTTGAGTCTTGTTTGCTTCCTTCAATGACTGTTCCATGTCACATTATCATTACTTGTATGCATATCTATCCCACAAAGGAATTTTGTGGTATAAAGTTTCATTTATTGGTACATGCTTAACGATGACGAAAGATGATAAAGTTATGTATACTAATTATTTATTAAGTCTACTTCGTTTTTATTATTATATTGTTATTCATCCCTTGAGTTCGAAAAGGAATATGTGGCTGCAGTAGCACATCTGTATTCCTATCTGTTCTTGGGAAGCTTTTTTAAGATGGCTCCACGATTTCATTTCTTCTTTACACGATTTTCTGCACGTCACCCTCGGACGTCCTACTCGTCGTTTCTTATTGAGGTTCCACTCGAGGGCCCGCCCGACACGTGATGTCACTCAACGGTCTCCTCAAGGCGTGTCCGACCTATCCCCATTTTCTTCTGCATAGCTGTTGTTGGATGGTTCATTGCATTGCCCGTGTTCCTTGTTGGGTATCCTTTTTAGCTGACCATCTGATCTTCAGTACAGAGCGAAGGCAGTTGTTGATAAGAGATTTTAGCCTTCATTTTCAGCTGATAATTATGGCTAAAATACTTAATAAAACCCTTCTACTACATCAGTGAAGAAATTAGCTCGTTGTCTTAACTGGTAGTAAGGTATCACATGATGATGAGTAGTCTTGTGAATAACTACATATTTAATATTCAATGGGTACATTATTTCTTTGTTATAGGCGAATAATTGTTCTCCCACCTGACTTGTTGAACCCCGCTGGTTACGAATTCTCATTGGAACTCCAGGCAACTTCTTCCATAGAGACGGTCACTAGTATTAGATGGTTGGAAACAATCAGCCACAAGAAGCCTTCGACCTAGGTTTCGTGTTCGTTGGCACTCACTAGTCAGCAAGGCGTATCTGCAACCTTGAACGAACTCATGTCCCTACCGAGATTTGAACCCGCGTCACGGAGTGCTGCAGTCATCTTAGTGGTAACGTTTCTGACTGCACTACTCTTTGACGTGGGTTCGAATCTCAGAAGGGACATGAGTTCCTTGAAGGTTGCAGATACGCCTTACTGACTGTTGAGTTTCAACTAGCACGAAACCTAGGTCGAAGGCTTCCTGTGGCCGATTGCCTATAACCATCTAATATCATCAAATCGATGTGCACCGTGATGGCGGGCTACCCAGAATGGTGGCCACATTGCTAACCTGACTGATAGAATTCAGTCTGCACCAAAGACAGGACTAGACATATCACACTAGTTATTAAATGGCCAATCGTAGTACAATCACTGGTGCGCATCAGATTAATTATCAAGTGTTTGTGTGTAGGGATTTAATCAGCTTCATATTTGATCCTGCGTTGACATCAGGTAGAGGAGCATTGGAAAACCTACGAGTACTGGACATTTGTTTCGTCCTATTTTTGGATGCTTCATCAGTGCACACCCTCTAGGTTTCGAACGCAGGACCTTCCGTTTGCAAGGAGAGCTCGTAGACCATTCAGTCACTGTGATCCGATCTATTAGCCCATGAATTTCAACTTCTGTAAGCAATCAAACCCTTGCAAAGCAACACCTGGTGGTAGTTAGTTTTATGCCCACTTGGAACTGGCTGTGTACAGAAAGTTACCTTGAGTTCTAGTGAGAAGTGGTGACCAGGAGAGTCTATTGAGTCAGCTAAGAGGACAGTTGCTTCCCTGTAACATTGGCTGGCGGTTGCGATGCATATTATTTTCTTGGCCACCGTTATTTTCTTGTGACATGATAACAAATCCGTGTATAAAATGTCCGACTATGTTTTATATCTGCTGAGTAGAACACTTTAAATTAGATTCCCCTTTAACTGGTCTGAAGCTTTTTGTACACTACTGAAAAACGTTGGTCAGTGCTATTTCTAGAGTGAATAATTTTTTATTCCATCCTTTTTATGCCACCATCAAATTGCACTTTCTTTGTTTCGCCTATAACATAACATTTAAATCTGATGGTGATATTGCTTTTTACTCTCTTTAATTTTGTTTCAGTTTTCGTCATAATACAATGCAATCTCATCCACTTTTCGGTGGAGCATTTCAGTGTTTATTACCGACAAATGTGATTGACGCTAGGTAAGCAATTACTAAATATTACAGTAGTCTATTGTGACTAACTGTGTCTATGTATATTTTTACCAGGAGTTTAGAATATTTTGTTTTGAGAGGGGTGGGGTGAACTGTATAGCATGATAATCGCTTCAGAATTTCTTGAAATATAATTGTGGTTCATTGGTTTAGATGCGCTCGACTTCCACCCAATAGATCACAGGTTCCAACTCCGCTTCATTTACCACCGAGGTTTGAGCAGCTAGTTGGTGTATCACCATCCCCTCCACACAACCGGTGTTGAACATTGCCAATTGTATGGGATCAAACTTGGTAGTTAAGTAACATCTATTCCTGTTTCTTCTTCTTTCATAGTTTCCTGAACACAAAGTTCAGCTTCCAATTTTAGTAAATGTCAACATAGCACTCTTCACTTATGATATGACATGATAAGAATTAATTTATCTGTATACATTGTTGTATAAGGAGAGTGTTGGTGTCAAGTTACTGGTATATCTAATGTTTTATTTGTGTTTACTTAAGAGAAATTTAACACTGATGGTGCGCTAACGTTGCATTGATGGTTCAACAGTAGAATGCTTACCATCCAATCACGTGATCCGGGCTCCATTCCCTTTCTACGCACTCCTAAATCTCGCCTTTTATTAACGCCTGGCAGTAAACCCAGGAGAGAAAGTAGGTTGGGAGTGAGGTTAGTAATCCTACTCTCGAAAAAACGACACCAGCGCTACTGAAACTTCAAAGCTAAAAGTTCAAGGTAATACGTTACACTTTGAATACAAGGAACCCAAGAGAATTATACTAATACTAGACGTAGACCCCTAAGTTCGAGTTATTGTCTTTTGCACAAGATGTTTAATATTCACCAGTTCATGAAATCAGATCAATTTCTTATCAGACTTACTTGGATATCAGTCATAGAAATAATGGTGACGTAACACAAAGCCAAAAAGTAATTCTAAGGCTGAGTGTTTCGGATCTATGTAGACAATTCAGGCATTTATATTCGTGTAACTGTGTTAACCTATATAAACGTCTTAGGTTCAAATAATTTGCACAGTAGCTGAATGTCTTAGTTATTTACACATAACTTCATTATTCACAGAATAGTGAACTGTTTTTACATAAGATAATGTATTAAAAACAAATGCCATGGCATGTTGGTGAATAGTAGTCATCTTCACGTAAGTCTTTCTATTTTATTTCTTTCAATGAGATTATGAAAAGAGTTCAAGTGCGAAAGTCTTTTTGAGGTATTACAAGTGTTAGTAGTAGTGTATTTATTAACACTTGTTGTCTGATTTGAATTATCAAGTTTAAACCTTTCGTTATAACTAATCCTCTTATTCATCGAATTCTACAAGAAGAATTTTTTCATGATCCAAAAGAAGTTACGATTCACCTGTCGTTAGATTCGTCATTCAGTGGAGTACTTAGGTTCGATATCTGATGGCTTCATGCATGCATATTGGTGGGGAATCTCGAACTGGAATGAAATGACTGCCTAATGTTCTTCGCTTTTCAATCATTCTCTAACTGATGTTGTCACCGTATAGAACACTATGGTATTTGGTATTTTTGTTTTATTTTTTTCTTTTTGATTACAGCTTGATTCCACACTGTATTTTTGGTACAAGTATGGAATTTTCAGCATGGATATCTGTAGCCCAAAATTCGCAGGCCCACCATAGATATCAGGTGTGCGTCCGCGTGGGCTCGAACCCCGCTGGGGGGCCACCACCGATGCACACTATCTATCTGGCAAAATGAAGTACAGATATGGAATGATTCACATTACTGCTATTATGGTTGTGAGACCTGGCCACTGAGAGTGGAAGACATGAAAAGACTAGCTGTCTTTGATCATAGGTGCCTGCGCTCTATTTCCCGTGTAAAGTGGCATAATAAGGTGAGCAACATTGAAGTTAGGCGTCGAGTTCTAGGTAAACTGGGGAAATCAATCGACGAAGTCGTGAAGTTACAAAGACTGAGATGGTTAGGACATGTGTTACGTATGCCAAGTCATCGCCTCCCTCGACAAAGAGCGATGTTAGCGGATATAGGGTCAGGCTGGAAAAAAGCTAGCGGCGGTCAAACAAAAACTTGGCACCAGTCAATGAAATCCATAACAGTTGGTCTAAGCCACGTAGGAAGGTGTAGACTTCCTGACTGGTTGCGGTCTTCGGGGAAAAAGGTTGGAAAAATTGGGGAAAATTGGCCCCTTTTTTTCCAAATTTTTTTTTTTTCCTTTTTTTTTTTTTTTTTTTTGGGGTTAATTCCAAATTTAAATTAAACTGCTATTATTATTGTTATTCCCTTGGGTTCTGAGTGGGACACATCTCAACTTTGTCCTATTTTCTGCCATCCTCTTCAGCTGGGTCGACGATTGTCCGTCATCTCCTCTCACAATCTCCAGATCACCCTCACACTGACGACCTACTCATCCCTTTCAATTGGCATTCCACTCGAGCAATGGCCTGCATTGCGTGCAGTGTCATTCAACGGTCTCCTCAGCGTACGCAAGATCCATTTCCTCCTACATATTTGTTGAGCGACCAGCTCTTGATTGGTTTTCTCACAGTCAGAGTTTCTTGTTACTAATTCTTTCTGGTCAGCCATTTGATCTTCAATATGGAGTCAGCGAAGTGGGCAGCTGTTGATAAAAGTCTTCAGTGACCTGTTGGAGATCCCTTTTGTGACGCGTGCGCCAAGTTTCTAACTCGTAAAGAAGGACCGATGTCACATTTGTGCTGAAAAGCTAACCCTTGTTGTTTATGCTGGCTGATTGTCAGCAGAAGATTTCCAAACTGGTTTCAGGTTAATGAAGGAGTATCTTGCCTTTCCGATTCTGCCTGACTGGCCTTCACATCGTCATCTGTTCCGACTGCTTGTGGCTGAGACTATGCTGGCTGCCTAGATAAGTGAAGGAGGTAACCTCTGTTAAGTCTTTCCCGTTGATGGCGATTGGTGGTGGTTGTTGTTGCTGTCGCTGTTGGTTGGTTATCTTCATCACCTCCGTCTTCTCTGTGTTCACCTGTAGTCCTGTCTTCGTCATGTGCTTCTTCAGGCAGTTTTTTGATTTTCGCCTGTAACTCTCCGAATTTGCGTGACATTTGACATAAATCATTCACGTGCAAAATTTAGATCTAGAATCTTCTCACCGATGGTCTAGCGTACTCCTGTCTCCTCGCTCCCCAAGCACAGTCTGACACATAATCTAGTCCACTACAATCAAGAATATCATCGAATGGGGTAATAGGCAGCCAGCTTTTCTTACTCCTATATGCACTTCGAACGCCTCTCTGAGTTCGCCATCGTGCATCACCTCACACGTAGCATTGTCTTATAGTCAGCTGTTGAATGAGGTTGATAAAGACTCGGGCACTGCAAGCCATAAACATAGTTTGCAAATTACTTCTCGGTCAACACTGTCTGTCAAAGACCTTTCCGAAGTCTATGAAGCAAGTTGACTTAGGAAGGGGTTTGACTGTCATTCTATGCATTGTTAGTTGATGTACATACCTTACATTAAAATCACCATTTGCACGAGTTTTCCGTATTGTACTTCTTTTGTCTTCCTTTCATATTTTCTGTGTTCTTTTACACGAACCTTTCATTTCTCCTCTTCACCATTTAAATCACCCCTCTGTTATTTAATGGCTTTACAGAAGACATCACTAACAATATACTACTTACAATATCTTGTCAATATCACCCGCCACAATATTGTTTTATGACGAAATCTACGTTAAAAATTATTGCCTAAAAATTCTTTATTATTTCTTTTGTTTTGTTTATTCATTGTATGCATTGTCAAGTGATCTACGTCAAATTCCTGATAACCAAGAAGTTTTTGTACATCCATCAACTTCTCAAAGTATTACAATCGATATCATGGAATATGTCAGTGATAGTAATCATGAAGATGCAGCTAGGTAGTATTTTTATTTTTTTTTATTTGTTTTTCCTTAATATTCTTTAATACATGTAAGATTATATAGGTGGAATTGATTGTCACATTTTTGGAAACTCGTAGGGGTAATTTTACAGAAAGCATAATTTTTTTATCAGTTTGATAGCTATTTGCTGTAAATAAAACTTAGATAGGCCTCATGGTGTCGTGAATAGCACTCTGAACTCTGAATCCAGCAACTTGAGTTTTGGTCTCGGCAAGGTCTATGGCCAAGTACCTGGTTAGTCGGTTTTTCAAGGATAGAATGCTCTGCAACCACGCACGTGGTCTGGGTTCAATTCCCGGCTGACGCTTAGCTGGTAGTAAACCCTGAAAAGAGGGAAGTTTGAGGTTAGGCTAGAAATTCCACCCCTTAAAATAAGAATATGATTATTGCTAGAACTTTAAGGCGCAAGCTTTTGAAGCCCTGTGTCTCATTAAGAACGTAAATAATGATAATAAGCTTTATTCCAAAACAGTGTTTGCGAATACAGAATGGAATTCTCAGCGTTTCACTACAGTATTGCATCCAGTCAGTACATTATCAATAAAGAAAATTCTACATAGATTAAGGAAATATCGGTTCAAAATGACAATAACTCATTAGCATGTCGGCAAAGCCAAAATTGAACAGTGTTTGAAGGTGTTAGAAAAGTAGATGCTTGCATATTTACTGGCGTAAGCGGAAGAAAGGAATAAAGCAGCACAACAGAAAAAAAGGGAGAGAGAGAAAAGGAAAAGAAAGAAAGAAAACGTTGTACCTATAAATGATATGAGGTATAATTGTTCTACTGACTATTTAATAAGTTGTAGGTATCACGCCTAATGCTTTCTTTATCGCACAGAACACGAGCTAAGTAGGGTATGGTTGTGTTTTTGTACTTGCGGGTGCGAGCATATAGTTTTCTATGTAAGCTTCTGGTTCTGTCTGATGAGATACAAGGGGAGAGTTGTGAATGAAGAGGGTGGTGTGAGCTAGATAGAATGGATTTAGCCCATTTTTCACATGAGTCCAAGTACCTGTCAACCAGAATATTAACAAGCTGGTGGAGTGGCACGTTGCTTACCCTGCTGACAACTTGTAACATCCTGCGTAATAAGGTATAGCCTTTCTTCAGTAGCCCAGGAAAGACTAAGGGGGAACAATATAGAATAATGGGCAGAATGCGAGAGTTAACGAATTGTAGGTGTAAGGGTTGGGTTATTCTAGAATATCTTAACCTCTTGATGTAGCAGGTAAGACGGAATATTTTCTTAGAAATCAATATATGAGACAACCAGGAAAAATCAGCAGACAGAATGACGCTAAGATATTTAACTTCCGACTTGGTTTCTATTTCAGTGCCATCTATGTTGCACACTTCGTGAGTGCTAACCAGTTTGTTTAGGTCAGATTTGTGCCTAAAGGTGAAATTAACTGCTTGGCATTTGGAGGGGTTTAAGGTGAGACCGTTTTCCTTGGACCATTGGCTGATTTCTGATAAAAAGCCGTTTAGTTAAGAGCAGTCACTTTGACATTTGACAGGCAAAGATACAGTTAGGTCATCATCAGCATATTTGACAAAACTAGTGTGATTTGAAGATTTCTGTCTGTCTGTCTGTTTTCGACATAGAACTTTGCACAAATGTGCGGAAGTTCAAGTCGCCACATTCCGTGTAGCACGCGAAGCAAGAGAAGAAAGTACAAGAAAAGCATAATAGAAACAGTGAGCAGAGGTGTGAGACAAAGGAGTAATAAAGAAATACAAAACAGTTTCATTGAAGATCATAAGTCACAAGGAGTGGATGCATCTGCGCCACTGAGAACGATTTTGAGCCATGTCACCAATTGTTTCCAACCATAGATTTTTACCGTCCCGAGGACCCCAGCCTGGAAGTCTACACCTTCCTACGTGGCTTAGACCAACTGTTGTGGATTTCATTGACTGGTGCCAAGTTTTTGTTTGACCGCCGCTAGCTTTTTTCCAGCCTGACCCTATATCCGCTAACATTGCTCGTCGAGGGAGGCGATGGCTTGGCATACGTAACACATGTCCTAACCATCTCAGTCTTTGTAGCTTCACGACTTCGTCGATTGATTTCCCCTGTTTACCTAGAACTCTACGCCTAACCTCCATGTTGCTCACCTTATTATGCCACTTTACACGGGAAATAGAACGCAGGCACCTATGATCAAAGACAGCTAGTCTTTTCATGTCTTCCACTCTCAGTGGCCAGGTCTCACAACCATAAAGGAGGACGGAGCGGACTGATGAGCAGTACACCCGCCCTTTGGTCGATAGTCGAACATCTCGTCTACGCCAGAGTCGGCGTAAACTAACAAATGCGAAACGAGCCCCTTGTATTCGTGCTGAGATTTCGTCAGAGATCAGCCCGTTGGGGCTGATGGTACTTCCCAAATAAGTGAAGCGGTCAACGTGCTCTACCACTTCACTCATTTGTCAGCGTCTTCGCCTAGAAGGACTATATGTCTGCATTCCAAGTCAACGAGATTATTCCCGGTAGCAGTCAATCCCTGAGTCGCTGAAGTCACTGGGTTAGTCCATTACATCTATGATGAAGTTAATAGAAAAGGAATAATGGGCATCTTGACGGACCACTGCAATATATTTCTGGAATTCCCTTTACAGCCAAGCATCTCAGAGAACTTCCGATCGACAGAGTGAATGCTGCCTTTAGTCAAGAAATATAATGACTGTTGGACGCCGGTAGAATGCCTATGTTTAGAATCTGTCGGAGGGGTAGATCATGTAGAAAGAAAGAAAGAAAAGAGAAGTGGGGAGAGTACAGCACCTTAGAGGACACCAGCTTCAGTGAGCACAGCAGAGGAGGATTTGCCTTTGTATACGGTATACTGCATTCTGTTTGAAAAGTAGGAATGCAACCAGTTAGCGACCCAGGACTCAGTTTGTGTCATAGAAAGCTTATTTAGCAAGAGACATCTAGGTACAGAGTTGAAAGCAGAAGTGAAGTCGAGAAACGTGCAGCGGACGTATTTGGCACCTTTATCTAATGAATGAGAAGAAAGGAAATCAAATCTCGAGTTTTGTTTGTGATTGTATTTTTCATACTGACACCCTCATAACTTACTCTTCATTCATCTGGTGATTACAGTGAAACATTCGCATTTGTAGACTGAAAAAAAAATTATGAACAGAAAACACTTATAAGATTGAAGCATTTGAGGTTGTATTTTTCACTTTTAAATAAACAACTGGGCAAAGTTAAACTTTAAGCACCACCAACTACTAATCAGCGAATGTCCTTGAACTCACCAATCACATGAAGGAGGCGTTTTTGGTTATGGAAAAGATATATTTGTGAAAAAATTCTTAAAAACTGCATAAACATGTTTCATAGGATACCTGTCTCTTAAAAGTGTTAAAAACACCTCCCAGTTGAGCATAGGAGTATCAGTTGGAAAGTTACACCACATTCTATACATATGTTTATCTGAACGACTATAAATGACATACTTTTGAGATCCATTAATAGCCCTAATCCTATTTGTAACCTTCACCAAGGCCTTCTATAGGATTGATGTGTGTCCCTTTAATAGAATCCACAAAATCTTTAGAATGGTTCACTCTATGATGAATATATCCAAGTGATGACGGGTAGATATAACCTTTCCAGCCATCCACGTGTACGATGACAGCTTCTCCTATTAACGAAGTAATTCTCTCCGTTTTTCATGATGTGATATCTTTGCAGTGCTGGTACCACTGAACTGTTGATAGGAGACTATTTGCTCTGTTTCAGCAGCTACACCTATCACAGGCTGTTTCAAAGCCCAGTAACTACAAATATACAAAATATGGGTCAATAACAAGTAGTAGTACCTGGCAAAAAATGTTCGTACGAAATATTTGAACCATCAGCTTATCTTCCACGGACATTTGACTCAAATCAAGCGGAATTAGAACCTTCAGTCCACATGGATGAAACTCATTGGACCATTCAATGCCATTCTCTGATTGGTAGTTAGTGGTGCTCAAAGTTTAGCTTAGCCAGCAACTGATATATGATGGTTGAGTGGTTGACTCCGATTTTAAAACTTCTAATCGAATACTCAGTTTCACTTTTGTAGCTCTATCACTAAGAAAACAGAACAACAGGAAATTGAGATAAACCGTGTATTTTTTCTTTTTTAGCAAACACAGACACTAACTGCAGTTGCTTTACTCTTATTTTTTCATCGAATAAACCCATTTAGATTTGGATTTTTGTCTTCAGTTTTCCTGGTACATCTACATGCGTTCAGAAGTCTTGAGACTGAGTGAAGAAGAAAGTTTTATTATAACATGGCTGAACGGCAAAGTCAAACTTTAAGCACCAGTTAGTACCAGTAGAGTGCACCTCACCAATGACCTTAAAATGCCCACTCATCAGATTAGTGAAAGCTGACAAATTATGTTATAATCATGAATAAAATATGCGTATCGAAGTGATATGTTATTAAATGAAACATCTGGTAAGTTACAGGTTAGGTTTGAGAAAGATTAAGTTGAGTTTTAACCAAAGGATGGCTTAGAGTTAGGTTAATCTAACAAGAGCGACATTATGGTTGGTTTAAGTTGGAATAAGATTAGTTTAGGGATATTTTCACATTAGAGTGTAGCAGTTCGACTTACCACACTCCATGTGTCAGACAAAGGAAGACAAAAAAGAGAAAACAAGATTCAAAAGAAAGATAATTAACGGAAATGTGAGGGGGATGGAAGATTTATAGGGTTTATTGGATGTGACAGATCACGAAGAGCGAATGCGTCTGCTCCATTGAGAACTCCACATCACTGATTGTCTCCAAACATTGCGTCTTAGCATCACGACAACCCGAACCAGGTGATCTACACCCCCTACGTGGTTCAAACTGTCTGTTCTTAATGGTTCATTGACCAATTCCATGTTTTGACATGACCGCCATTAGCTCTTCTTCAACCTGATCCTATGTCAGCTAACACTGACCGTTGGGGAAGGCGATGGCTGAGCATACGCAACACGTGTCCTAGCCATCTCAATCGATGTAACTTCAAAACCTTATCGATTGACTTTCTCTCGTTACTTAACATTCGTCACCTGATCTGAATACTGTTCACCATACTATACCGCTTGAGACAAGAGACAGAACATAGGAATGAAATGGTCATTACACTCTCCCACTTTACTCCCCCCCCCATCTTTAAGTTAGTAGTCGGTTTATTGAAGTCCTGTAGCATCATCTTACATTTGACAGGAGCAAATCGTATGCCAAACATTCGAAGATTTCTGCTCAACGTGTTCAGAAGACTGCATTTTGTCGGCGTCTTCACCTACAAAGACTAAATCGTCCGCATATTTTAAGTCAACAAGACCATTCCCTGGTAATAAGTCAATCCCTATGTCAGTGATGTCAGTTAGGGTTCAAGTCCATTAGTGCATCCATGATGAAATTAAACAGAAATGGCGACATCAAAACAATATCAATAATATTATATATCACTGTTACTTTCATGCATTGTTACGTTTATAAAGATTCTACTTTTTTGTGTTATTTCCGCGATTTCTTTCTTCAAATTATCAGAACGCATTTTGATGCGATAGGTGCATCAAATGAGGCGACAGATTCAAATATTTCGTCTATTACAACTGTCAACTTATCCAATCCCGATCCTTAGTAAGTTCATGCTGTCGTTTGTTTTAATTATGCTATTTAATAATTTATTGTTTCATTTTATTGAGAACTTTAACTTCATTCTACTCACTGGTTTTACTATGTAATAAGATGGTAGATACATTTTTGCTAACAATATGAGCAAATAAGTGTTACCCCAGCTGGCATCATTCAGTCTTCCCTGGTATTTGATAGTGATGATAATAATAGTAATTCAAGTATTGGTTTGTAGGGATTCGGTTGATTGGTTACAGGATTTCATCACGAGCTGACATTGGTTAGAGAACCATTAGGAGACCTGGGATTACTGAACAGCTGTTTCGTCACAGTTTGGGACTCTTCATCAGTACGCACCCACCGGAGTTCGAGGCCAGGACCTTCTAGTTACAAGGCGAGCTCGTATACCATCAAACCACTGTGACCCGATCCAATGGCCCATGAATTCTGACTGTTGTCAATTGTGGACACATAGCGCGACCCCTAGGAAATGTCTTCGGCGAGTATTTGTCCTCACATCCGACCTGCTGCACCCTACTGGTCACGACTTCCCACTTGAATCCCTTACCTGAATAGGGCAAGTCGCTAATGAGCATCTCATCGATATTCAAGTGTTGGTTTGTGTAGGGATTTGATTTGTCTCAGGATTTCATCATCAGCTGACATTGGTTAGAGAACCATTGGAAAACTTGGGAGTACTGGACAGCTGTTTTATATGGTTAATGAAATATGCTAGTCTATTAGTCATGACCAGGATTCTGAAGCTCGTATTACCATCTTGTTTGTGTAAGTTTTAAATGAACCAATAGATAAGAATTTCATCACACCAGGAATAACATCCATTATACATCGGATGACTGACTAAGTAACCTAACTCCCGTCGGTGAATCTGTTTTCTGAACAGAATACATCCATTTTCAGTAGTCCCTGAAATAATTTTGCTGTTGGATGCAGACTGAATCGTTGTAAAATGTCAAGTCTGATCATTGATGTCATTTAGAGAACCACAGGAAAACTTGGGTGTATTGGACGTCTGTTTCGCCCCCAGTTCGGGATTCTTCAACATTATGCACCCATTGGGCATTCGAACTTAGGACCTACCGGTCACATGGCTGTTATGGTGTGACCGAGTATAAATATAGCTAACAAGATATAACGGATGATAACGTAAAGACTGGTATTGCTTATTAGTTAATCTGCCCTGACCCGAAGCGGAAAATCAGAAGACACCAACGTTCACGAATGGATACGTGAATTCTCCAGTAAGGGAAATTAGCTTTTACAGAAGAGTGTGGGTGGAAAAGTACGAAAGTGTCAGTTAAGTGAACAAGACTATATAGAAAATAGCTAACATACATGAACCAATAAGATAGATAGTAGTTTTTCTTACCACTAACTGGATTCTGATTGGTTGCAATGTCATGTGACAAAGGTCATACATTATTTTTTGGTTAACATACAGGCAAGGTAGATTGTGAGTCATAATGGACTAACGATCAATAAACAGTACGCCCAGGTTTTCTAATGGTTCTCATGATGAAATCCTGTAACTAATTCATCAAATCCCTACAAACCAGTACTTGAATATAAAACAAAAAATACCAGACTGACAAGACAAGGCAGACATCAGGTGACTACATATTATTGGCGAAGTCGTAAATCATTAAGGCACTAGGGCCTAAAATTTAAAATTCCACCAATTCGTAATTATAATTGAGATTCTTTCATTTTTAGCTATGAGGATGTTTTCTAAGAGGGCAATGTAAGCTTCGCATTTAAATCATTCAGCTTAGAATACACATTGGCAGTAAAGTTACACACTTGAACTAAAGCCTTCATCATTTCATAATACAGACAATCGTCGATTTCCATGTTAATGTAGATGCAAGACTGAAGACAAGAAATGCCATGTTTATAGGGAAAAATTGATAAAATATTCGACTAAGCTACTCATTTTACAGTCTGCAAATAATATCAGCATTCTGTATTTGAGATGCGGTGTTATTCATTTCCTAGGAGTTATTCGATTTTCTTCAAGTGCAACAATCCTGTACCATCGTTTCCTCTACAGTAATTATATCTATTTGGTGGATGATGACTAGCAGTAGGATCTAGGATGCACGTTTCGTCCTATTTGTGGCTCGTCATCTGGATGTGCCTGCATTCGCCGGTGAATGATGATGATCCCACCGAGGATTGAACCCAGTGCCCATAGCTTCAAACGCCAAAGCGTTATCAACTAGACCACTTGGGCCATGGGAGCCACCTCTTGTGCAACGGGTCTTATTAATTATTAATTCAATTTAGATTTTCCCGTTGACGTCGACTGCTTCCCAGGTGACCCAGGTGGTATAGTGGATAGCGCCTCGGTTTCTCAAACTATGAGCGCTGAATACGAGCCTCGATGGGAAAATTATCAGCCGCTGGGAAATGCAGGTACATTCCGTTGACGAGCCCCAAATAGGACGAAATGAGTATCGTGGATTCCACTACTAGTCATCATCCATGAATTGACTTCCTCTATGGTTTTGTTTCAATGTGGTGTTTTTATACTCATTTTTTTCTTCCCATTCTTATTAAACATACATTTTCTGAAACTTCCTGCACATGGACTTACATTAACATATTTCAAATTACCTGTAGAGGTTGCTGTATTTTTTATATAAACATTGTTGAATAAATGTAGAACATTGGCTGACGGTCGCGCTGCATTTCACGAATATGTAGGAGTTAGAATCCGTGGGCCATTGAATTCGATCCTGATGGCTGATTGGTAACCTTGTAATCTTAAAGACCATGAGACAGTACTGCCGAAGAGCGTTAAACAAGCACAGAACAGCTTCCTTGTACTCTCTAGTATCCAATAGTTCTTTACCTGACTTCAATTCATGATCAAACATGAAATTTAGAAGTATTTTGTCTTTCATTTGAATGTACTTTTGTTCATCTTTTTTTTTGTTAATGCCTTTCTCACGTATTCTCTAGCTGTCCGTTTACAGTTCTACTGGTTGGACAACAAAAAGTAGCTAAATTTAATCAATCCGATGAAGATGTTGTATCTATTCATATGGCTCTATATCGATATACACAATTTCAAGCTGATGTCTTAGTTCTTGTCAATAATCCTATTGAAGACAGGTAGGTAGTTAGGTGTATACACTAAGAGTGGAACGTTTTCATTTTAATAGAAATAAATAAACCAATCAGTCTACCTCGTAAACTACTTCTTGTACTGACAGATAATTAATTGCGGTCTGCCTTGTATTTCTTGTATTATACACCTAACCATGAATGAAAGTAGTTTCCTATACCCTCCTAGGTGTAGATGCTTCCTAGTGCAGTCTTATATGTTCTCGTGTCTACGGTATAAATGAAATAGTTTTGCTGACAGATTCATCGAAATTCATACTTTCTGTATTGTACATTTGCATAAAACTATTACTGCTAGTGTACTAATCGCTTTCACTTATCGAACGAACGCATTCATATGTACATACACTACACTATTAGTTACATCTATCAATCTAATGAAAAACACTTATTTGAAGATGCTGTCATCTATCCAACGGTCATGTACATTGACAAAAACAACTTCTTTTAGAGTTAAACAATTTACAGGACTTTTTCTCTCTCTCTACATTTTGTGTGATTGATTTTGTAATAGGTATTTTAGATTTTATCATAAATGCTCTCCTTCTTAATCTACTATGACTAAAGAAGTGAACAGGTTAGAATTGAGGAAGTTTTATTTCTTTTGTACTTTAAAACTGCACTTCTGAATTCGGTTTCATCATTTTTTTTCAGCTACACCATGATCTCTCCTGTGTGTTCCAATTGTTTGTAGAATACCACTCACGATCCGTTGTCCTGAACAAGCTTCAAATTATATATCGTCACTTGTATTTACCGTCAAGTTCCACTAACTAATCAGAACTCTAGAATTCTGTTCTATGCATTTCTAAGATGCGCATTTTGTGAATGCAGACTTGGTTATTCACCTGGTTGTCGTTAGAATGAGCTTTTGTGACTTACTTTATATCTATACAGATTACAGACAACCCAATTGGTTATAGCTAGATTACACGTTAATGCCTTTAGTTCAGTTCTATAGTCAGTCACCTGTAAATTATATGACTAGTTAATAAGAATCCAGGAGGATGTTCATCAGTATCGATAGCCTCATTCACTTCTATTTATATTCTCTTTACATAAGATGCATTTATCTCTGTCAGCAGGAAAAATGTTAAATATTTAGATTTTCAAGTATTGGTTGTGTGGGAATTTTGTTTCATTGGTTGGAGGATTTCATCATGAGCTGACATCGGTTAGAGAACCTTTGGCTGTTTCGTTCTAGTTTGGGACTCTTCATCAGTACGCGCCCACCGGTATTCGAACCCAAGACCTTCTGGTTACAAGGTGAGCTCGTAGACAATTAAGCCATTAGATGCTGCAGTCGCTAAAGTAGACTTAACTCAAAAGTCCAACGCTGGAGACAGACAGGAAATGAAATCGTACTTCCAAAGTCCTAAACTCAGCAGTGTATCAGAAATAGTAATTAGCTGGTGAAATTAATCGATGTAACTACTGTCTATTACCTTTCTGTCATCATTGGCATCGCAGGGTAACACTATTTGACGTGACTCTTTTATTCGATGGATGGTTGCTCTGCTTCTTTTAGTGCATATGACTGAATATATTTACAGAATAAAAATCTGATTAGGCAGACGAATATTTCAAGTTTTTACCTCCAAGACTCCTAATTCCATTTCCAATGTCTTTAAAAGTAATAACACACAGACTATTACCAATCTCAGGTGAATGCTTAGAAAAGTTAGAAATTATAGCAACCCTCCTCCGAATATATGAATTTATGCTTCGGAGAGATAGAGAACGAAGAACAGCTTACGTGTAGAAAAAATGAGTCTATGTTGTTTGTGTGAGTGTAAATTATCAGTAGTTCATTAAGAGAAGGCAAGGCTGTTAAATGATTGGTTTCAACTGGCGCCCAGCTACTGTAGTCAAATAATATCCAACCGAAATCCATATGGAAGATCTATAAATGCAACCGTACTCAAATCGAGTATACATTTAACATGAAATGTGAGTATGTAGATGTTAATAGTAAGGCTAGTGTTATATTGCTGCTGCTGAGTGGTTAATAGTAGTTTTCCCCGTCGCCAAATTGTTATGTACTCGTCGACAAATTATTGTTATGGACTGGTCGAGAATTTAATAGTCCTGACGCAAGAAGGCGGAAATCAGAAGACCACTAGGTTTGCGATGATACTTCTATTTTCCAAACACAAGGAGAAGCAATAAGTGGTATCACACCAAAAGTAAGTAAGTCAGTTGATTGTGAGAACGAATATATATATATATATGAATGTTCAGACAAGGGTGTGAACAATCATTAGACAGTCTTAACATGAATGGCTAATTATAATGAAGTATCGATCCATATATACATAGCGAAATATAGCAGACAAGTCAACAACCACCATATATGGATATATGTCACCAAGCAACGGACTGTCAACAAACACTCATATTATATATAATATAAGGAGAATATACATTGTTAAAGGAGACAAGTTCATACAAGTGAAATGGTCACAGACTAAGAAAGCAAACAGAAAGAGAGACCAACATACATATATATATATATATATATATATATATATACATATCAGCTAGTCAGGACTTAATCAGGTACCCGAAACATATTTCCCATATTATAAGGTTGCCAGCCAAAATATATTGTGTGATGGTTTATAACACCACCCAGTGTTTTCTAGGCGAAATTACGGTCGGATTCCGACCCAAAACCCAACCGGCGAAAGTCAGTAAACCGCATCTCTATCCTTTGAATTCGGTAGTATTGTGGCGAGAGTTGGCTGCTAGCCAAATTGGTGGACAGTCATTTACGTCAATGTTTACATCCTCAGTATTGGTCGTGAGGAAAATATGAACAAAAACTGGTTCAACAACTAATCACAGCAGACTTTTGAGTAGGCGGATCCAATTTTTAGATAGACAATCTGAACTTCAATAAACGGCCACAAAGAGATGAAAGATTAACGTTCAGCGAGAAACCACCAATCAGAAGGCTGTGTTTTTCTGCTAACAATAATCCATAATAATGTACATGCAAATCTATAAATATGTGTTGATTTCCTGAATAAGCGATCTGTTGCCTGGCCCTTGTCTTCTGATATTACAGTATCATCAGTCCCCATAATGAATGTGCTTCATAGCTTTGTTGGTGGTGGTGTATTAGTGACTCCGAGTAGGTTAACTAACCAACCTATCTACGTAATACAATAACTGAATGTGTATAGTTCGTCTTTGTAGTACCTAAAGTTAACATATACATTAAATTATTATTTTTTATTATTTTTTTATTGTTATCATCCTGTAGAGACATACTTCCACTTCCAGGAAATGCTGATCAAATGCACATGAGATCTGGAACTAATGGTTTTTCAACGGATATTGCTTGGTCACAAGATACTATAAATTCAATACTTCTTTCCTTACGCTTAAGAAACCCTAATATTTTTATATCATAAAAGTTGAAAGATTTTTTTGAAAAAGCAAATAATTTTCATTGAACAGCATTTCTTTTCTCTGTAAATGTATATTTGTACAAAAGAGAAGTTGTATTCAGTATAATGTCTCTATTATTATTTTTTTATTGGAAGCATTTATTCCTGTTAGTGTTTTTTAAATATTCCTCTGATAAAGTTGAAATACACGATCGTCTCTGATTCAACATCAAATCTGATGCGTCTGATTATTCTTATAAAACTCCCGATAAAATGAACAAATCTCTGTTCTATTGACTTCAAACTTTTAGCAGTTGAGACTGTCTCTTAATGACCTATGTTAAAAATGAATGAAATATTCCCATGTTGAGTTATAAGAAAAAGACGTAAACACCGAAGGAAATTTTCTTTTCGACGATTCGTTTTTTATTAACCGTAGAATCAGCGTAATTATATTTAACGAAGAGATCATAAGACCAATCATGTACTGGTAAAATTTGTCCTCGGAAGACGTATTGCGTAATATAAGGTGTAACTTATATGGGGTGACTAATTGGAAGTTAGAAAAGAGGTTAGAAGTTGGCATGACGTAATAAGTGTAAGAAAATGACACTGTCCAGGTTGGCTGACCAGAGGAGAAAGGAAGAATAGTAGCAGCTCCATCCTCGAACACCTTGTCCACTCTGGACATCGAGCACTCCCTCATGAATGCTTCACAGTGCTACACGCCATCTGTACATAGCTGAATCATTGCTACTCGGGATCTGGAACCGGACCTGTGCATTCAAAAGCACTATATACATTCACTCGCCAGAGCAACATTCTTAATATAATTTTGCTTCTTTTTATTATGTAAGTTTACTATTATTATTTTATTATCGTCATTATTCCCATCATCCATATTTTACTATCACTCTATTACTGATTATTAACAACACTGCGTTTCCATACAGATTTTCTCTACAAACATCTTATCGTCTTTCCACTAGTTCCTGTCCATTCTACACAACCATGTTGATCAATCATTTTCCCACACCTATTACGTCATGTCAACTTCTGCCCTCTTTTCCAGTAAATCACCCCATGTAGGTTTCACCTTACACTACATAATACGTTTTTCGAGGACAAATTTTACCAGTATCCCATAGGTCTTATGATCTGTTTGTTAAATATAATTACGATCGAAAAGAAAATTTCCTTCGCTGTTTACGTCTTTTTCGTATGTCAAAGCGTTAGCTTACCTCAGGCTTTTAAGTTAAACAAACCTCCAATGAATGTGAGTTTAACTTTATGTAGTCACCAATGTGAATCATAGTTTCACTGTGAAGAAATTCAAAGAATGATACACCTGAACAGTAAACAATGTGCTGTAGTGAAAAATGAAGATGTTTAACTTGTCGGTTTTGTATTTGTGCTGAGATTTTTGTCAATAACGATTTTACCAAGCCTGAGCGAAATAGTCAACGCATTTAACTTAACCTTTTCACTACCTCTCCTTACACGTTAGTCCTCCGACACCGCCTTGCCTTACATTTGGCACCCCATTAGATTAAGAAAGAAAGTGTTCTGCGTGTGATGTTTCAAGAAGAATATGCAAGTTAGGCTTTTGTGTTGTACGACTTCAGTCTGATGGTATTGGTTTTCATTGAGAAAATGGATAAAATAGTCATTAGTAGTAGGTACATTCATAAGGTCATCATCAAAAGGAAATGGAAGTTATATTCATGACATATATTTGAATAAACTACTGTCATCGGCACTTTTGTAAGAGATCAAGTTTGATCCGTTAGTAGATTCATAAGGATTTCTATTTGATTTAAAGAGTTTCCCACCCGAACCGGTTGCAGTTAAAAAAAAAGCTAGTGAATATCGAGTAACAATGGAGAGTTCTGTTTTCAAACACTTCAGAGGTACACACATAAAGCATCATGCGTTATAAGGTTGAGGAGGATCTAGTTTTAATCAAATAAAAATCCAGCGAATAGGTCATCCTTATGCAATGGCCCACAATCTACGACTACTTAACAAAATCCACTTTGACCATATAATCACAAATCCAACAGATAAGTACCATTCCACTAAGAATATGTAATGAGATTTAAAATGTAATTCTAATGGGAAAACATCACTTGCGTCGAACAAAAATGATATTCCTCTGTAAAGGCATACAGACATGGTAATGAACTACAAAGTGACAGAAATTGGAAAGCATTCGACCCTTACGTCAACTGTTGAACAGTGAGCGATGTGACACTTCTAAAAGCTGATTGTTTTGAGCCTATAAGTTTTGCGCTACAGAAGAGTTGGAAACTAGGACAAAACAACTATGCGTTTCCAGTTGATGTCGATTCATGGAGAAAATCCAATTTTGGATAGACCTGCCGATCATATTTTTCATAAAGATAATTCTATAATATCCCTCTCAAATTATTAGTCTAATAATAATCTGGTAGACATCTAATTCTAAGATTCATATTATTAATTAGTTTACTCATTGAATAGTTGATATTAGATTGTTGGAAGCAATCAGCAGGAAACCTTTGACCTTTGTTGACACTCGTCAACAAGGCGTATTTGCGACCTTAAAGGAACTCATGTCCCTTCTGAGTTTCGAACCTGAGTCATCCAGTCAGTACCAGTCAGAGACGTTAACATTGAGCTATTCGGGCTCGCGATTGACCTCCTGTGGGACTGTATTGGATATTCTTGATTGCACACTAGTCAGTTACTAGTGTAATGTGTCTAGACATCTGCTTGGTGCAGACTGAATTCTATCAGTCAAGTTTTCAATGTGGTTATCAACGAGCTAGGGGCACGGTGCACTTTGAATTGCGGATGACGAGTGCCAACTATCACGAAACCTAGGTCCCCAAGGCTTCCTGTGGCCGATTACCTCCAACCATTCAAAGTGCACCGTGATGGCTAGACACCTAGAATGGTGGCCATATTGCCAACCTGACTGACAGAATTCAATCTGTATGAAACAAAGGATTAGATACGTTTGAAAATAGTTAGTAACTAGTGTCCAATCAGTAGTTTACTCATGTAGCAACAATCGCTTCATTACTGATAAAATCCTTGTTTTTGAAAAATACATCTATTTATAGAATATGAGTGCACAGAAAATAAATGATGAGGAATTTCCATAACCGTTAAATGTATATAAAAAACTCATTTTCAGCCTTGTATCAAAAATTGCATCGAAATATTTTTCTTTTTGAAAAGAATTCTTTTTAATGTGATGTGGGCTACACATACATACGTACATTGTGCTGCTTATTATTAGAAACAATAACAATTGTTTTTATAATTCAGACATAAATTATTGGGAAACCTACACACTTCATTACCGATTTTAATTTTAGAACAATGCATTGTTTGAAAATTATTTTCTGTCACTAAGAGAAGCTGTTGTATTTCTAGTAAAACATGCCCAGTTAAAATAAGAATTAATCTTCAAGAATTATTTTGTAGTGATTTGATTTGTCTCAAGTTCGACCAAGGATTGATATCAATTAGAGAACCGCTGAAAACCCAGAGTACTGGACAGTTGCTTTGTCCTTGTCTGGGACTCGTCATCAGCATTACGCATTACATGGTTCTCTAACTGACGATCAAAATCATGGTCAGACTTGAAACAAATCAAACGCCCAATAAATTAACTCTCGAGAATTAGTCGGATGATCGCCAGTTACTGACTATAGAACGAAGTTATCTAGAGTTCTAGTGAGAGGTCGTGACCACTAGGGCTACACCACCCAGTCGGGCATGAGAACAAATACTCGCCGATAACATAGGGTGGTATTTGCGTTAAAACCACGGATTGGTTGAAGTTAGAATTCATGAGTCATTGAGTCGGATCCCAGTAGCTGAATGGTCTACGAGCTTGTCTTGTAACTGGGAGATTCTGGGCTCAAACTCGGTAGGTGAGTACTGCCGATGAGTCCCAAACAAGGACAAAAATCTGTCCAGTACTCTTTGGCTTTCAGTGGTTTTCTAAATAATATCAATCGATGGTCGAACTTGAAATGAGAACTAATTATCACGTAATATTAATACAGATTTAATGTCAAAGATAAGAACAGAAAAACAAAGATAAGACAGAAGAATTTTTGTTCGGTGACCTAAGCATAACCTTCATAATATCTATTATATGCCTTCAATTTAGGTTATATACGATTATTCAATAATTACTATACACATGGTAAACTTGTTTGCTTATCAGCATAACAGATAATTAGTTCGTCCTTAGTCATATTATCACTAATTGTATATACATACGCCAGTCAATTATTTTGTTGGCCTAGCCCTCACTCTTGCGGTTGTTATCGTCTTTACTACTGGTTAGTTTCAGTCTCTGTTCATGTGCCGTTTGACCACGAAACCTAATCCCTGTATGTCTTACTTTACGTCTATGTAGAATCTGCACACTGTCCTAATGGACTGAGCTGAAACAGTTCGTGTCATCTGTGGCGTCAGCTATCTATCGAATGGACTGTATGTAGTTCGCTCTATTCTACTTTACAGCCGTGAAATATGGCCGGTGAAAGTGGAAGGCATTACATTTTTTCTGATCATTGATGTTTGCGTCCAGCCTCTAGCGTTAAGTGGCACAGTGGTTAGGACTCTCGCCGACCATACACATGGTCCGAGGTTCGGTCCCCTGCCGACGCACACTTGATATCTATGGTCGGCCTGCAAAATTTGGGCTACCGATATCCATGCTGAAACTTTCATATTTGTACCAAAAATACATTGTGGAATCAAGATGTAATCAAAAATTTAAAAAAAATATGGTCAGTAAAAATTGGGTAAAGCCTAGAGTGCTTAGTGAAGAAGGAAAGTCAGTCAGTGAGAATGTGAAAATTCAATCGATCTTAATAGCTCGGACATGTGTTACGCATGCCAATTCACTGGCTAGTAGTGTAATATATTATAGGAGTAAGTTGGATAGAAGTTAAGAGTGACCAGACGAGAAAATGGCACCAACATGTTCTGTCAGAGAGCATTAGAAACAGATTACCAATAGATCATCCGAGGGGATAAAAAATGACAGATTTTCGCAGCGGACTAATATATACTGTAAATAATCTTCATTAGGTGCCTGCGTTCTATTTCCCGTGTGAAGTGGCATAATAAGGTGAGCAATATGGAGGTTAGGTGTAGAGTTCTAGGTAAACAGGGAAAAAAAGTGTTCCCGGAAAAAGAAAAAAAAACATGACGAGTCGGGGCGGGAAAAGTGAAATGGAAACTGCCCCTTTAAATTTTTTTCTTTTTTTAAAAACCACTACCGTAAATGGACATACTAACTAGTTTCCTGACAACCAAATTTCAAAGAATACTCATAACAGTACGCTTATCAACAGATACAGTTTAAAAGCCAAGTAGGAAACAAATAGTGAATAAAATTTCCAACCTTCTGGGAACACAAGAAAATACAGATGAATGTACAGTCAATTTATCAAAGAAAAATACTAGACCAAAAAACAGGCGAATTAATTCGTTGACTGACGCGCCAAAGCAAAAGCCATCGGGCTTCTCAACGAAATGTTAATTAAATGCTTAGTCTCTGTCTGTTTTCGACTTAGAACTTTGCACCACATGTGCAGCAGTTCAAGTCGCCACACTCCATGTAGCACACAAAGCAACAGAAGAAAGTAAAAGAAATGCATAATAGAGACAGTAAACAGAGGTGTGAGACAAGGGAATAGCAATAAAGAAGAACAATATAGTCTCATTGGAAATTATAAGTTACAAGGAGTGGATGCATCTGCACCAGCCACTGAGGATGATTTTCGGCCATATCACCAATTGTTTCCAACCATTGGTTTTTACCGTCCCGAGGACCCCAACCAGGAAGCTAGTTTACACCTTCCTACGTGACTGGCTTAAACTAACTGTTGTGGATTTTATTGACTGGTGCCATGTTTTGGTTTGACCGCCGCTAGCTCTTTTCCAGCCTGACCCTATGTCAGCTAACATTGCCCATCGAGGAAGGCGATGGCTAGGCGTGGATGCGTGACACATCTCCTAACCATCTCAGTCGATGTAATTTCACAACATCGTCGATTGATTTCCCCTCCTCACCTTGCACTCAATTGATGCCTAACCTCAATATTGGTCACCTTATTATACCACTTCACACGGGAGATAAAGAGCAGGCACCTATGATCGAAGACAGCTAATCTTTTCATGTCTTCCACTCTCAATGGCCAGGTCTCATCCACAGCCATAAAGGAGGACGAAGCGGACTGACCTTTGATCGGCAGCCGGATATCACGTCTACGCCGGAGACGGTGTAAACTGGCATATGCTTAGTAATCATTACCAACCTAATTAAGTTCATTTTCAAAAACTTTTACACATCTACTTTGACATAAACCTCATTATGATACCTATTTTCCATTTGATATCTTAAAAACTTCAATCAGTCATTCTAATGTCATTTTCAGCTGTTTACGGGTGATCATCATGCCTATCTAGAAGTAACACATTCCACAAGATGAAACTCTGGAGTCACTACATAATATAAACAGGACCATCAAATGTGCTCTGAACACCGTCAACTTCAGTAACTTTAAAATGTAAAATTAAAAATTCATCAAATGGTAAAATTATTTACAAACTTCTCTTTGTGATCAATTTTTTCTCTCGTAAAATCTTTATCCAAACCTAACACAAAGTTAAACAACAAAAACCGAAAAATAAACAAAAAGGGTGTAAATAAATTATCTAAATTCAGAAATACACAGGCAGATCAGAACTCTTGACACTTCTCAGGGGAATTTTTTTTAAATGTACACAACAATAATAAATTGTTCCGCACATAATTATTGGAACAAAATAAAATCATAGAAATTAAAGTAAATTTTGTAACTATATATCATCAAAATTGTACAAATATATATAGATTTGAAAGCTGGTTGGTTGACCATAAAGATTTTGTCCTCAAATTCGAAACATTTCCCCCTTTGACGGCTTTAGATAATCTCAGTTCTTGGTAGACAACAAAGGTTTGTCCTCTAGTTAATTATTCAAGGTTTACTTAAAACTGGATAAGATTGTAAACTGCTTTTAGGCGGCTATTAAAGATATACAAAAATTTGCTGATGCCTCTGAAATTATGGGACAGTAACTAAGGAAGAAGAAAAAAGGATTAACTAAACTGTTCAACCATTTGTTTGTTTGTTTGTTTTTTACAATATGTGGACTTAAATACAGTGTGGATAAAAGAAAGACGACTGAATAACTAGAAGATAAAAGGAGAAAGAAAACCTTGTTTATAACACTTTCAAGCTTTTTGGCTATTTCTGTATTAAGAGCAAACACCATCTGAACAGTTAAGACAGTCGTTATAATAACAATATCGTTGACCCTCTTCACCTCTTTCTTTTGTATTGGCGAACATGCTGACGGAAAAGACGGTCAGTCAGTCAATCATATATAAAGTAAGGTTGATTGGTGAGGAAAGAAGAAAGATATTATCAAAACTGGAAATGGATAAACAAATATATGTAAACATATCTATATATTAAATCCATAAGAGGATGCTGTACTATAGTTATTACTATTATTATTACTATTACTTAAGGACAACAAAGAAGGATAAAGTTGTGATGTACTACCTGAAGAGTCTGTATTCATCATTTTCATCATATTAGGCAGATAAGACATATGATTAGTACTAGGCAAATTTGGTTCACTTATTTGACCAGTTGATATTTGTTCAGATAATTTTTCACACTTAAATCTGCGTTCATTACACAATTTACGCAGGGGAATAAATTCTTTCAAGAATGTGTCAACATCCATTGACTTGTCAAGAAACCGATTGGCTAATTCCTAGATAATAAAAAAAAGATGAATTAAGAGAACTTTTTAAAAAAAGTCTACTATTACTTCTGATTGTTCTTCAGACTCTGCATTAGCGGTTTGTAGGAGGGCGAGAATTACACTGGGAGAGTATTTGGCACCGATACTATCTTGAATGAAAATATAGTGAACATTAGAAGCTGAATGAAAAAGGGCCAAAACTTACCAACTTCTGATTTAATCTTCATATATTGAATTTCTAGTTGCCTATAAGTGGCATAAGTTTCAACTAGTTCAGTTTTCTTCATATTAAATGTTGGCTCTAAAGCTAGATTCGCCTCAGCCTGACGTCTGTTTTCATTCATACATACTTCTTTGTCAGCTTCAATTTTTCTAATCTAATAAGTACAATGTATATGTAATTAGCCTTCTACCTCTGGACTATTTTTAGCTAGCTTTTTAATTCCTTCATAATCAGATAACAAAGCTTCAAGTTCACTCTTAGATAACTTCTCTAATGTAGATAATATTTCATCTTTATTGTCCAATCCATTGTAGTTTGTTGCACCCATTGTAGAGGTATAATCCATAATCTAAGTAAAATAGACGAGAAAGTTTTCAAATAAATTTTCATGTAAAAACAACAATATCGTTTTGTTCTTCATTCATTCGGAAATACAAAAACCTTTATTATAATGAATATCATATACCCAACGCCCAAATTTTTAAAACTGTTAAAAGTGAACTTGGTTTGGACATATATCACTTTTGATTAAACTGAGTTAGACATAAATGAAATCTATTTTAATGCAAATAAAAAGTTTAGGCATCACGGGATATTAGTAATATTAGTACATTACAGTATATATATATAAACATCAGTTAATATTACTGTATAACACTGTGATTTATTAAAAATGAAATCTTATCCATAATGGAGTTTTACTTGAATATTAATCACCTTTTTTTGAACTGTACAATGAACTGATAAAATTCACTACACACTAACACTCAGAACTAGACGCATGACATTAACTACTGTTCAGCATCCAATCAAAGAATAGTTATCATACAACGTTTATCGAACCAATGCAAAAGGTTTCTCTGAACTTTACTTTTGTTTACAAATGACAATTTTTATTTAAAATTTCATGATTGGTGACAGAAACTGAGTTGATGTTAAAAACATTGACATGATGTATCAGAACACTGAGAAGAAGCTTGCTTCAACTAAGGTGAAACCCCATGATAATTACTTTAGCAGTAACAAACACGAAAAAAATTGACGGTATGAAGAGTTCAGATAACTTCTTTGAATCACAGGAATATACAGCAATGCAAAATATATTCAAAATGTTTGGGTTGATTAAGAAACTGCAGTAAGTCTGAAAGTAACAAGCAGCAACGATCGCTACCAAAGGGAGAGATTTAACACACGTTACTTCCTGCCCTCACTTATCTCGGAAGCATTGTTTCAACTACAGGTGAAAAACAGGGATGAAGATGCCAAAGTCAGAATTGGAAAGGCAAGGTACATAATCACCAATCTAATATCGGTCTGGAAATCTTTTACACTCAGCATAAGGAACGAGATTTGCATTTTCAACACCGATGTCAAGTCGGTGTAAGTCAGAAATTTGCACTGCGTCTCATAAAAAGAATTTCCAACAGGTTGCAGACTTTTATCAACAACTGCCAACTTCGCTGGCTCCATACTGAATATCAAATAGACTGCCAGAAGGGATTAGCTATAAGGAACTGTGGGAACAAACCAACAGGTGAGAGCCGACTGCTCAACAAATACGTAGGAGGAAATAAAGATGGATTGTGCGTACCCTGAGAAGACCGACGAATGACATCGCACACGACGCAGGCCATTCGAATGGGATCCAAATGGGAAGCGACGTGTGGGTCATCAGTGAGAGGGTGACATGGAGGAGATCGTCTGAGGAAGAGATGAGAGATTATGGGCAACCCTGGACCCAGCTGAGGAGGATGGAAGAGAATAGAAGAAAGTGAAGGTGTTGTTGGAGTCCTATGTTCCACCGGGAACCTAAGGGAATAACATTATATATATATATATATATATATATATATATATATATAAGTCCGTTTTAAATTGTTCAAAGCAACTGCCAAGAAACGGTAGGTGAAGCAGCACTGGCAGTAAAAAGTGCAAGCACGGTATCAATTTATACCTAGCAGACGATAGATGTGGCATACCACATTAACCTTAGCAGACAACTTACAATTACCGACTCCCTGTTTAAAATAGGCCCCATTTTCATCGAAATCGATAACTGGGAAAAACTAAAGACTGGTAAACACAAAAAGTGGCTCGGTCTAGAACAAAAAAGTTCTGTACCATGCAACTGGGTAGCATTATAATTATTATTATAATAATCTATTTCTACAGTTTTAAAGACCTTACTTCTCCTTATCTCTTAGTGTGTTATTTAAACAAATTTATAGTCTGCAAAGAAAACTGCAACAAATTCAAGTTCAAACACTCTCATAAAGTTCATTTGGGTTTTCTGTTTACGAACTCCTAATCAAATCTACCCAGTGACTAGAAATGGCAACCATAACTTAATTTAAATACAAATCAGTAATTACATGTGTGCACATGCAACTGACAGAGCTACATCAACAATGGAAGAGTAATGATACCACGTTTACTTAATCCGACCAAATATTTGAAAAACAAGCACCTGCACTACGGATCAAATCTCCAGTATCGGTTTACATTATTGAAACCACTTCACACTACGTTAGTCAAAACTGGAATACATTATCTCCATTTTTAGATCCGAATTTAAAGTTAAGATTATTAACATTTTGATGGCACACTGGTAACAAAACTACTTCAGTGTGAGAAAGTACAGTTAACTTCATTTCAATTAAGGAAATTGCCTTTCGAAAATATTCGCCAAAATAACACGTCGCAAACACTAATAGGGATGAATCTAGTCATTACCATCTTTATAGAGTGACTAAAGACCGGAAAGATTTTCCTGGGATAACCCGCAGTCAGCTGTTTTTATTCCCTCTACTCAGGATTATCGAGATAGACTAATTACTGGGTAATCATTTAAGCAGTAGTGATGAAACAGCTTTAAAGTTATTTATATCAACCACATTTTCTTACGTATAACTAGAACTCAGATGCACCAAACAGATATATATATATATATATATATATGGGCCACACATTGTGATGTCAAATCATACCACCTAGGTTGGAGTGGATAAAGTGGGATTTGAACCCACGATTCGTGCTAAAGCCGACAAGCCCTAAATGCGCTTGATATCTTGATATAAATTCACGGCTACGGTGGGGCCAATTGATTGACACGTCTACACCCCAAAAAAGAAGTCACTTGTTTAGGCTAAAAAGGCAGGTAATAAGAACATACACAATGAAAACAATCCAGAATCCATAGACACGCGGATTTTTAGCCACACAATTGCGAATATATTTTAAATTATACTAAAGGTGATTTATTTACAGATGCGAGTGTAATAGCCCCTTTTTAATGCAATAAAACATTATTTTCACAGTCTTGAAACTTTCAGTACTGTACAATCACGGCTGTTAGATTATGAAGTAAGTCATAGTGAAGTAAACGCTATAGGCATTAAACTAATGCCTATTTGTGGACATATTAAACCAGATACAAACCAAATTGTACGAAATGTGAGAACTAACTGCTTTAAAAAGCCACAGGACATGCTGACGAAAGAGCTTTATCCTTCTCAAGATACAACTACCCCACGAAGACAGAAAACAGGCCAAGGAACGGGTCAGACAATTTCGCTTTGACAGTGGAAAAATACGTTGAATGAATAAAATCATCCTTATTTCAGCAGGACGTAATCATTATTTTCCACTGTAACTCCCTTTAATGGCCTCTTCAGGGCCCTTCACATACGATAAAATAGGATTAGTGCAATCAAGAGTGCGGAAAACAATGTCCTCACGACAACAGGGCAACTGACAACAGACTAATCTTCGATAACTTCTATTTTCCACACTTGACACGTGAATATGTAATAATCAGAATCTATTGTGTCATCCCGATACGTCCAAAAACGCGGAACTACGTGGAACAATATTGAAGGCAAGTGGCAGCACTACTGAAATTACTTAAGGACAGAAGTGTCTTCCATAGTTTGTGAGGAAGAATAAACACAATATAATAGTTCTTTAACTTTAACAGGATGGTTAGTGTCTGAATAGGTAGTGCGTCTGTTATAGAAACGGAGGGCAAATTAACAGGTATCGATTATACATACATTTATGTGCAGATTATTTAGGAATATTAGGAATCATGAGATAATTCCTAAAAACACTCAGCCAGTCTATTCAAGCAGTAACCACCATATGCAATAGATGGAAATTGATCCATTATTATATTTATACTAAAGACTACACAGAAGGACTCAAGCCTGTGGCGTATATGACAAACACACTCTTAGTCTTCCAACTTACGTAACGCAACGTTTCAAAACAGCCGCATCCGAAGGTTTCCAATATCCAATATCGTTTTTACGAGCTAGTATAAACCAATTTGATTTCTTTGTGCTCGCTTCTTGATTGTGAGGTATAGGTTCTTGATCTTCGGTAAACTTCTGCGTAGCTTGTCCCGCCACTCGACTGTCGTAGCTTTGGTTGACTCCAAAGGGAGTAGTGCTGGGATTAATTATATGTGGTTTGTAGTATGAGGTATGTTAAGACTGTTACTACTGTGATTGGAGTTGATCCTTTCGCCAGTTAGTCCTTCGGTATTGTCGACAAGAGAAAATAGATAGTAATAATAATAATAGTAATAATAATAATGGATATAATTAGTGAAGCTATTCAGACTAGGAGACAGAAAAGAAAATAGAAACGTAACAACAGTCAGCTCATTAAGTTTGAAGAATAAATATATATATATCGGTAATAGTAATAATAATAATATTAATTATAATATTAATAAGTTTTCAGGAGAGTAAGACGGGAGAGAATGTAAGGAAGTAAAACGACGAGTTTAATTGTCTACCCCTGATTGGTATATGAGATTTTAAGATAGGCCATTTGGATGCAGTCCTTGTATCGCTGCATGGTTGTCCAGCCTTCGCTTAAAGGCATCCAAAGACGGTGCCATAGCTACATCTGCTGGCACACATCCCATTTTACCCTGAATAGTGAAAAGTCAACTGTTTCCTGTTAAATATTTGTGGCATCACAATAATCTCTTAAGTATGACGATGATATGTGCACACCCCATGCCTTCTGAAAAATCATTGTAAAAGTGAATAAACTGTCATGAGAAAAAGTACTCCGTAGTTATAAATTCATTGCTGGACTTCGTGCGATACTGTTGTGTTATCACAATCACATACGAAAATTTTAGGCATCTTCATGAGCAGGAAAACAGATCTTATTCAGTGAAACCTCGAACGTAATGAAAGTTGAACTTCAGTTATGCACTATTGAAAATGAGTGGTAGTATAGCAGTAGATAATTCACTAGAACTATTATCCAAAGTTTTCACCACTCAGTACTAGATTCTGACCCTCACTGTTTGAGTCAGCTTGTGTAGCTGAAGGCTAGTGGCCAAGTATCCACGCCTTCCGGCATTCTGCCATGTTACGTTCGTCCGTTCTTGCTCGATCCCCAGATAGTTAAGAAGCTATCATCGTACAACCATTTGGTCCTGAAATATATTTCGGAAGACCGATTTGGTGTTTTGTCTTGTCTTTGTTTTACGAGGAACCAGTACTCCAGAGGTTGAGTATTAGATCATGCGTTATTATATGTCGTACAATCCACGGACGTCAACACCATCTAACAATTCTTTATGGTGGTTGGAAGGATGATAAATACAATCGGACAGAAATTCATGTCAGGGTCGCAGTGTATTTTATTATTATTCTCACATTTCTCCCAGGCTGTCAAAGGACCATATCCTTCAGACGATATTTGGAAAATCTGATGTATTACTTTAGAATGCTGGACGTGGGTTTATATTCTTTGGGGCGCAACAGACTGCGAAACCGACGATCACCTCTTACGCAGAGATTGTAAACTGTATTTATTTTTGTGGTCATGAATAGTATAAAAATTCCGCTTGTTTCGTGTATACCATGTAGCTCGAACATATTGCTGTCAGACAGAACTTATGCAGAAGAGCTAATTCTCCTTGTCATAATGCGCTCTGACTCGAGAAAGTCATCATTTACCAATTAGTTCACCAGGGCACAGGCAACATTACTGGGAGTTATCTGCTGCGCTATGGTGGGTGATGTTTTCTCAGCTCCCTTATCATTCCCCATAGAGGGCCATGGTCACTGAAATAATTATATACTCAGAACGGACTTTGAAAAGGGAGTGAATTTTGCAGTCACTTGTCCACCTTCGGCTTTTGTTTTTATACGCGCCAAAAGTTTATATTAATAATAATATATTCTCATTTTGTACATGAGGTTAACTTAAAGTCAGTTTATTCTGATCGAAGTTAGTTTACTTTTCAGCTATGAGTCTATTTAATTATAGGAAGTATGCTCTTATAACTTTAAAGTTATTTATATCCATTTTTGTACACCTATTGGTTTTTAATCACTATTCTATATAAAGGTCACATATATAAGGTCATATTTGAGTCTTTAATCCCAGTTCAGTCCGAAAAGAATGCCCATCTAAAGGAAATGCTGCAAAAGAGTTCTGTGCCAATTCCTAGTCGAAGGAGGAATGCAGTGTGATAATTGCTAGGGATGGTTTTACAGCATTTACACAGAACAGAAGGGCGATCCCCATATTCCTACACCCATGCCGCTTCTACGATACCGAATAACCCCCCGGTGCAAGCAATGGAAAGTTGAAACGAGGAGAAGGCGTATCAAGGGTTGAAAACCCACAACTAAATTCACTCAGGGACTTGTGGATCAAGCCTCATCCACACGGGTGGGTATCAGCAGACAAAATCGACCACAGAGAGCGAGGAGGGAGACAATGAGTGACATGATGTATTCTCCCTCAGAAAGCGAGATAAGGATATCATAAAGGCCACAGTGTCCACATAGGAGGGAAGGAAACGCCACAGAACAAGAAAGCCATCGCAAGCAAACCTATATTCTCCCACAGGTTGCTCATCATCCACAAAGTGGAAGAATCACCGACTTCCAATCCAAAGGCTAGGTTAGAGCACGACCTCAACTGTTTCAACCCCCTCTTAGATAAACCAACGACACTATCACGTGTAACCATAAATAACTTGTGTAGAATAGGCCAAAAGACTGACTCTACAGTAAATCAGCCGATATACCTTCTCAAAGCCGTACTAAGCTCCAAAGAAGACGGGGGTCCCATTCTAACCAACTTATTAACTCTCAAAGGATCAGGCATGTACGTACGTGCCGATTTATACCTTGCAGACCGAGTTAAAAGACTGTCTGTGGCTCTGGAATTAGGCCCTCTGAACCCTCTGAAACCGCGAGAAAACCCTTACGGTGACAACTTTTAGTCGCGATGGTGCGGTGTACTCGTGGAAATGTCACACAGAATTGTTTCTCCAACTATACCTAGGGGTTTCTCGGCTAGTTGCAGAGTTGTTTTCGACAACTCATGTTGAAGCTCGGTATATTCTTTTTGAAGACAAGCCAGTTTTACAGGGTCTTTGCCGACTGTTTGGGTGAGAGAACAAATGCGTGACAAGGCATCTACCACGGTGTTGTTCACTCCGATACGTGGCGAATATCCGATGTAAACTGTGAAACTTAATCCAATTGCCGTGATCTCTGATGAATACTTATATGAAGTAGAATTCAGAGAGTATTTCAGATGTTTGTGGCCATAACCAGAAGTTCCCTGCCGAATGTACTGTCCTTCGTCTCTCCCAATCGAAGGCACCGCGAGGAAAAGACTAGTGGTTGCAACCCTCTGTTCGTTAGTTGCAGTACTGCGCCGATCGCATTGTCTGATGCACCAACCGTGATACTTAACGGTGCCGTTGGATCCTGATACATTATAAGTGTGGCATCCGCAATAGCTTTTTTAACCTGAGTGAAGGCATTTCGAGCAGACGCATCAAGTTCCATGGACTTGTTATTCACTCGAAGAAGGTCTGTTAATGGCTGAATCAGAGAGGCACAGTTGGGAACAAAGCATCGATAATAACTTATCAAGCCGTTCAAAGTGCGGAGAATTTTTACTGTCTGTGGCTCCGGAAAGTTCAGTAGCCAGTGGGCGAATGCCTTTGCAGTCAATGGTGTGACCCAGGAAGTCGAATGAGTCAACGCCTATCTGACACTTGAATATTGATGGTAATACTATGTAGGCGTAACCTTGCAAATGCCAAATCCGAGTGTCAAAGGTGAGTTTCCTTGTCTGGACTGGCAATGAGGCAGTCGTCTACGTATGCGTATGCAAAGTCGAGACCGCAAAATACTTCGTTGATGAAGAGTTGGATTGTTTGGGCTGCATTCCACAGACCGAATAGCACACGTAGAAATTCAAAAAGTCCGAAAGGCGTAATGCTGGCCGATTTCGGAATATCTTCTGGTGCCTTCGGGATTCGGCAATACGCTTTAACCAAGTCGATTTTAAAGAATATGGTTGCGGCAGATAATGTTGCCGTCAAGTCATGTGTGTGAGGCAACGGATAGCAATCAGGGGTTGTTTTGGCGTTCACTGGCCGGTAATCTTTCGATGAAAGCAAAAGTAAGGATGGGTACCTGCAATGTTCGTACAATGTACGAAACTGGAAAGGCTGCCCAGATAGCCGCTGAAATGAGAAGACATAGATTAAAAGTGTTGGGAATCTGTGAAAGCAGATGGAATGGAGCTGGAAAGTGCCAACTACCAACTATAGAGGGAATAATCTTTTCCGGCCACCCAGAGGACAACCATGAGCACACCGAGGGAGTGGCCATCATGATGTCACCAACAGTAACTAAAGCTCTCATGCAGTGGGAACCAATCTCCTCCAGGATAATGACAGCCAGGTTCAACTCAAAAGGAAGGAAAGTTACAGTCATTCAATGCTATGCGCCTACAAACGTCTCAGAACAACAGAAGAAAGGGGCGTTCTACAGACGACTACAAACAGTGATGGACAATTTCCCAAATGGCGATATCAAAATCCTAATGGAAGACATGAATGAAAAGTTGGGAGGAGACAACACAGGAAGAGAACTCACCATGGGTCGTGGGGCCCTCGGTGAAATGAACGACAATGGCGAACTCTTCTCAGACTTCTGCGCCTTCAATGATTTGGTGATTGGTGGCAGTGTGTTCAAACACAAGGATATACACAAGACGACATGGATTTCACCAGATGAAAACACCAAGAACCAAATAGACTTCATCTCAATTTCAAGAAAGTGGAGACGGAGCATACTGGACACAAGGTCAAGGAGAGGAGCAGATGTGGGTTCAGACCACTATCTAGTACAAGGGACTTTCAAGGTGAAACTAAAAGCCTCGAGAATAGCTGGAGATAGACCACAATGCAAGTTCAACACTCAAAAACTGAAGGACACAACCACAA